GAAAGGATTTCCTCCCTGCTTGTCTAGTATAGAAGATATAGCCAACTAACTACTTGCTAAACGCGATATAGGACGCGTTAGGATATATTAAGCTTATAACTTCGTTAAACGGCAACTATAACTTATTACGCGCTTTAATCGGCAATATAATTACTAGAGGGCTAAATATAAAGATCCGGAAATCATTCGTAGCTGGTTCGTACTTATATAGAATATAATTATAAAATACGGCGTCTAGGAGGCAGATATCTATAACTTCGACGAGACTGGGTTTCAGATGGGTGTTATCTCAACCGCAATGGTTATTATAAGCTCTGAACGGCGTGGTAGGGCAAAGTCGAAGCAGTCTAGCAATCGGGAGTACGCAACGGTAATCCAAGGTATCAATACAACTGGCTAGGCGGTCCTACTATTTATCATCGTCCAGGGCAAATATTACCTCTCCTCTTAGTATAAGAATAGCCTATTGCCGAAGGACTGGGTTATTGCGATATCTGAGAATGGTTGGACGACCAACGAGAGAGGCCTTGAATGGATTCAATACTTCGATAAGCATACTAGAGCTCGAACAGCCGGGGTTTATCGCCTCCTTATCCTCAACGGCTATAACAGCCACCACTCGACCGACTTCAAGGTCTACTGCAAGGAGAATAACATTATAACTCTCTGCATCTCATATCCTCCAGCCAGCTGATATTAGGTGTTTCAGCCCACTAAAGGTGGCATACAGCAAGCAGATTGAGGAGATGATACGGGCCAGTATAACCTATATCACTAAGAAGGACTTCTTTCCCGCCTTCTTCGTAGCTTACCAGGCGGCGATAACACGCGAAAACATTCAAAGAGGTTTCCGAGGCGCCGGACTTGTTCCTTTTGACCCCGAGAAGGTGATCTCCTAGCTCGACATCCGGTTTAAGACGCCATCACCCTCGAACTCTCGGCCTAATAGTGCCTATACCTGGGTTTCTAAGACGCCAAACAATACGACTGAAGCCTTCTCATAGACTAATCTAATTAAAACTTAGATTGCCCGGCATCAAAATAGCTCTCCAACTAAGATTTTAAGAGCTGTTGATCTCCTTGCAAAAGGCACTAAAAAGATTATATATAAGATGGCGTTAATATAAGCGGAGATCTAGGACTTATAGGCGGCAAATGAAGCCCTAAGCAAGCGCCAGAGGGCCAAGAAATAACGGCTCCGACAAGGAGGATCGCTTAGTGTATAGGATATATAGGATTTACAGGGCTAGAGAGAGGTGGAGGTGCAGATCAAGGAGGAAACGCAGGCGGGTAGTGGTCGGAAGCCAAGGACTGAGACGCGCGCGCGGCGTTGTAGCAACTGCGGGGAGCCCGGCCACAATGCGCGCACCTGTCAGATAGTTGTAGAAACATCTAAAGAAGATGAGTCTAAGTAGTTTCAATTGCTTTGAGCTATTGTGGTGGGACAGATAGAGATTTGGTTGCGAAGGTTCGATTTTGTATGTCATTCGCTTGTCTGTGTCATTCGCTTATTATGTACGTTATCTCTTTTATAAATATATTAACTATCTATGATTGTGGAACCTACTGTATCATGGCATAGGCCATTGCTTAGTCATGTGCTCAGCTTCTAGTACATGCATGCATGATTGGTCAACCTGGTTGGTGCCCCACCTTCCACATCTGGGTACATGCCCCATATCCTATATTTAGACTTCTTTGCATCTTACAGTCTTTGAGGATTCCTTTCTTCCTGTAAGTTCAATATTCTTGCAATGCAGTCAGTTACCCACTAGAGCCTTGAGCCTAGCCTATGATGATAGTCACCGTGACACTAATAATAGCTTATAAGCACCTAGTATCTAAAATATTCCTATAACTCCTCTTATATAAGATAAGAACATCGTAGTCCTACTAATTATAAGCTAAGAGCCCCAACTACTACTAACGTACATTATCAGCGAGTGGGACATATCAGCGAGCGGGACACTCTCCACTACTCTATAACAACTACTCTTAATTGCAATGCAACAACACTAAGAACCAACTACAATTACATTAGAAACAGATGAATCAGACCCTTCTGCATCCTCCTGGCAAGTGCGGGCATTATGACCAGGCTTGCCGCATACACCACAGCACCGAACCTTCGTACGACCCCCACCAGCACCACTACCATCCAGCTGTATTTCTTGCATTGCCTCCCCACCTATAGCCCCCTGGCTTACCACCTCCTGTGCCTCCTGCACAGTAAATGATCCTCCAAGCCGCACACGTGTTTTTTTGGCTCTCCGGCGCTTGCTTAGCGCCTCGTTAGCCTTGCGGAGCGAAGACACCTCTGCCTGAAGGAGGGCCACCTGGTGCATTATAGCTATCGTACCCTTGGTAAGCTGGTCCATAGCAGCCAATATTGAAGTCGGGGAGCTATTTTGATGGTTGGCAATGCGAGTCTTGATAAGCGTTGACTGTGACTCGGCTTCTCGAGGGTTGTATGGTGTCTGGAAGACCCAAGATTGTACAGTGCCCGGCCGTGAGGTTGGGGGTATTGGTATACGAAGCTTGATATCTAGCTTCGAAAGCACCCTCTCTGGATCGTATGGCATAAGGCCAGCCCCTGCAAAACCGCCCTGTATATTCCTCTTGGTGATAGAGGCAAAGAAGGCCGTGCGAAAGGCATAAAGAAACTCGAGCTTGCTTATATGGTTGATATACGCGCGCACTAAGTCCTCGATCTGGCGACCGTACGCCTGCTTCAACGGCCCAAAGCAGCCAACATCAAGTGGCTGGAGGAGGTAGGAGGAATATGGAGGCATGCAGAGCGTAATAATATTGTTCTGCTGGCAGTAGAGCTCGAACTCGGTCGAGTGGTGGCTTTCGTGGCCATCGAGGATCAACAACCGGTATTTGCCCTTTGTCCGAGGCGCTATATGGTAGTCGAAGTGCTTGATCCAATCAAGGCCTACTGCGTTGGTAGTCCAGCCGTTCTCGGTGGTTGCGATACGCCAGTCGGCCGGGAGGTTGCACTCGGTATACCAGTTGACGAGGTGGTATTGCGCGGCCAAGATGATGAACGGAGGGATAGCCCAGCCGAGAGCATTGACTCCCTGGATCACTGTTGCCCACTCGCGATTGCCAGGCTGGGCCAGCTTAGCCTTGCTCCGGCCATCTGAGGTCGTAATAACCATACCTGTAAAGATAATGCCCATTATAAACCCGGTCTCGTCAAAGTTATAGACATCGTCATCCACAATACCATACTTGGCCTTAGTGTTCTGCATAAGCCTAAACCACTCGCGAATAACGTCTGGATCTTCGCATCTAGCCCTCTGGTAGTCGTATCTATATGTATATCGCGTACGGAGCTCTGGCCGGCGTTTGACGAAGTTATAAGCCCAGCGTTTGCCAACAGGGGGCGCGTCGCGTTTGCGCAGTAGTTGGTTGGCCATATCTTCTACACCACATAACCTGGGTGGGAATGCACGTGCAGATAGCTCATTGACATATTGAACTATCGCCTTCTCTTCTAGATCTGTGAGCTTGCGCGAGTTGGCTGGAAGATCGTATCGTGCAGGCTTGCCGGCGCGTCGGTGCCCCAGGGTCCTACGGTCAACCCCATAGATCTTAGCTGCGGCTCGTTCGCTTAGATTCTTGTCGTTTTGAAGAGCTTGGAGAGCCAAGATTATCTGGCCTTCTTTTGAAGTAGAGGGCATTTTGGATAGTAGAGGAAATTTTGTTGTTGAGTGCAAAGATGTCGCGTCGTATAGGAAGTGGGTCATTCGCTTGTCTAGGTCACTCGCTTATCATGTACGTTATATGGTGGGGCGAGTGATAATAGCTTTATTAGAGGAATGGCTCTATTAGAGATATTGGTGCTAGCTGAGAGTTGCTGAGGCCTATATCAGGCCTAACCTATTATAATAATATTAAACTTACAATAGCTAGATGAAGACTCTAAGTGTATAAGAGATGACTCGAGATGTATTTTGCTTTATCTAGGTTAGAAAGAAGATCTCTATAACTTGCTCTAGGCAAACAACCAATGATATAAAAACACTAGAGTTGACATCCTCCTATAGCCTAATGTTACGAACTATGACGGTGGAACCCACCGTACTATGCATGATGCATGCAGTATGATTGGTTAGCTGTGGAGCGCATGCTCTACTTTCCATATCTGGCAAGTGCCCTACATCCCACATCCTGTATTTAGACTTTCCTGCTTCGCATCTTCCACTTGCAGAACTCTTCCTTCTGCAAGTTCAGTATTCTTGCAATACAGTCAGTTGCCCACCAGGGCCATTGAGCCTGGCCTGCATCTACCGATTCGTGACACGAACTGAACTAATAGGGCCTAGCTATGCATGTGGAACGGGAGCGCGGAACCAATCGTATAGAAGCATTTGGTGGAGGCCTTGGGTGCTCCCAAGTGGAGCATCCCCTGGACAGGATCACTATCTGCTCCTATTGCTCTTATCGCTCCTAAGGAGCACCAGGAGCACGTCAATAAGCACCAGAGAGGAAGCTGTATATAGTTCTACTATTCTGCCACTCATTCAGATAGCTAGCTTCCTTAGTGAGCAATTACAAGCAATAGCCCCTACCTATTGTGCAGACATTGCGACTAGCATTGTTGTGAACCTTTTGGCTTCACCGAGACCTACAGTCCGACCAGCGGATACCTTCGACCGGCGAACCCTTTCAGAGGCAGGACTGCCTGTGGTTTCGTCACACCTAACAAGGTTTTAAAAAAGTGTCAAAGATACTCAAAGTATACTAGGAGCTAGTATCACCCAGATGATATAGTACGCACCGCAAGCTACAACATCTGCACAAATGGTTGTTATAACCCCTCTTTGATTCTAATGATCTTCGCTAGGCTCCTATATTACTGAGATATAAAGGGAGTACATTAGCCCATTTGGTATATAGCAAACTTCTAGAAAGCAGCAACAGTATCTAGGCTCTCTAAATGCCAAGCGCCCATCTAGCTATGTTAGCAGCAATACAAAAAATCGACCTCCTCAACAAACTATAACTGTCTTGCACCAGTTCTCAACCTTGGTGTGGCGCAGCTCATCCAGCACACCCAAGTTGATCCCTGTTTGCTGGATCGCCACAACAACAATGTCAAACGACTCTAGCACCTCCTTGTTCCAGTACTTCTCGTCCAACCGCGGCACGTTCGGCACCGCCGCCTGCTCGATAAGGGGATCGACAAACATAACGTCCACCTTGCCAGACTCAGCCAACGCCGACGCAAACTTAACCGCCGGCGAGTTGACAATCTGCGACTGCCCGGCCTTGAAGCCCATGCCCGCCACGAGTACCCGCGGACGAAGGTCAAGTGGCGCCCTGAACAGCACCGCCCTCCCCCCCAGCGACTCCAACAATCGGTTCGCAATCTCCTGCGGGCGCTGGTTCATCTTTTCGGTCGCCGCGCGCAAGAGGGGGAACTCGCTGTTGGAGAACAGATAGTACGGGTTAACGGGGATGCAATGGCCGCCGACGCCGAGCGAGGGGACGATAGGGAGATAGCCAAAGGGCTTTGTCGCCGCCGTGGCCGCGACCTCGAAGGGGTCGATGCCATGAGGGACGCACGCGTCCGCCATCTCGTTGGCGAAGGCGATGGCCATCATGCGCTGGCAGTTCTCGTAGAGCTTGGTCATCTCGGCCACCTCGGGTTTAGACACCTTGACGACGCGCTCAAACACCATGCTGTATAGCCGCACGACCCGGTCGAGCGAGCCGGGGACGAGGTCGTCCAGGCCCGAGACGACCTTGGGGATGGACCTGGCGGGGGGGCTGACGCGGCCGGGATCCACGCGCTCGGGGGACATGCCGACGAAGAGGCCCTGGGCGACAGCCAGGGGGCCGAGCAGCTCGCGGGTCATGCCGATGGCGACCGAGGATTCGATGACGACGGTGGACCCGGCGCGGGCGTTGCGCGAGACGGTGTTGATGGCGGAACGGAGGTGCGCGAGGTTGACTTCGCCGTCGGCCTGGACGAGGGTGGGGACCGAGACGAGGAAGTACGAGGCGTTCTGCAGGTCGGATTCGGACGTCGTGAAGGTGATCTTTCGGTCCGAGCCAGAGCTGAGGTGTTCTTTCTTGAGATACTCGATCCGCTTGGGGCTCACATCGTAGCCCACGACGGGGTAGTGCGAGGAGAAGACCTGGACGAGGTGCTCGCCGACGTAGCCGACGCCTATGACGGCGACGGTGGGACGGTGGGCCTCTCCCACGTCCAAGGAGGAGGCCGAGGAGGCATCTTCGTCCACCGAGGACGCGTTGGTGTTGTAGGAGGAGGGAGAGTTGCAGCCGGACCACTCCTCAAGGGAGTCGGCTCCGCTGTCGAGACTCGGGGAAGGGAATAGTGCTGCTGCCATTTTGTACGATATCGCGAGGTAGAGGTGTGGAAGGAAAAGAACATGCGCGACAAGCAGAGGCGAGGTCCGGGCAGGTAGCTTATGACCCTTTCCAAATTGAACGACCAGGATGGAAGACGGTGATGTCTTGGCGAGAACAAGAGAGAAGATAGCAGGTAGACCTTGTGAGGATGCAGGAAAAGATAGCCCTGAAGTTGAACACGGGCTGTCTGATATACAGGGGTGGGTGAGGGACTCTTTGAAGAGATCGAGCTTCACTCCTTCCGGATGATTCCTTCTGGACGGATTTCCGCCTCATCAGGCCCCGGGCGTTTCGGTGCTGGATTCTAGCACCTTGGTTCTAGCAGCCGGCGCCATCGTCGCATTGTGGACAAGCTGCGGTCATGGTGATGGCTGAACAATCTCCCACAGCTGAGATAGCGTAGAGCCAGCTCTCAGAGGGTCTAGACTATCGAGTACACTAGCACGTTCGCGCTGCCTAGAGCGGATGGGCGAAATGGCGGAGAATGCCGCCATCAGGGTTGCTCCCAGTATACTACCTTCGTACGTTTTCAGCATGTATGCGGATAGCTTACTGGAGCCATCTGACTCAGTCTCAGATCGCTAGCTTTGTCTTGGCAAGTCTTCAATCTTCATGCGCGGTTGTCACTGGCGTCAACACGTGTACTTGACACAGTAGGTACCCGCTGGCTCGGACTGCATTCGGAGGTGGGCCCCTTGTGGGATGCAACGCGCATGCAACAACAAGAGTGGTGATGATATCTTGATGTTGCGTCTACTTGACATGCAGGGTTGGAGGATATGGAGAGAGGTGGGGCCATGCACTAACCCCTAGACCGCGTCGAGACCCGACGTTCTAGGCCCTGCGTTTTTCAATCCATGTTTGTTTTCGCCTTCTGCTGTAGTCGCCATTCCCAGTGTTCTGGGTCCTATAGTAACGTTAATGTATGGTCTTGTTTCCTCTTTAGGTAACCTTTCTATATGTTTCTAGTATTATACCATTTCGAATGTTCTTTTCCACGGTCCCGGTCCTATATTCAGAAAGATAGGGCTCAACACTCATGAATATTGATTTATCCCAAGAAAATAGAACATTTAGCAATACTAAGATAGCCAATCTCTATTCATGCCTTATTTCTGTACGAAAATTGGTCGTTTTGATGTTGAGATTGGGATTTTGACGTTGACCCTGGCCCTCAAGTTGGGAACTAACGAACAAACCAGGGGTGGATTGTAGACCCGACGGGATGGGATGCTGGGGGTTCGCATGTGCCCCACCACCCCCAAGTACTGCACGAAGGTGGGGGGCTGAAATAACAGCAGTGGGTCCGGTACCGACAGGGTTATCCCGCTTGTACCTGCTTCCCTTCTCCCAACATTCCAACCAAGGCATCCAGTCCATACTGCAGTTACTTCAATATTTAGTTAGATCCCATCTGCCGCGATAACCGCCTGAATTCGGTCGGGCATGCTATGGACTAATTCTAAGAGCCAGTCTTCAGGCGCGTGGAAGAGGACCGCGTTTTGTTGGTGTTGGTGGGGTACAAAGAGAGACCTGACAACTACCCCCGTCGGTACCGGACCCACTGCTGTTATTTCAGCCCCCTACCTTCGTAAACAACTCAGAGCTTGTGCTCGATTGCCAAGAGTCTAGGGCACTTCGGTTGTAGTTGGCGTCCCAGCGAGTACCCACCCCTATCCCACGCCAACCTTTAAGGGCCCATAGTTCGGGACCCGACCAGTTTAAGTTCATTAGCTTTACCGTACGGCTGGCACTATTTCTTCTCGACTCTACAACAGTCATGGAGATCCCGTCTTTGACGGCGCCAGCAAGGCCAGGCTTTGCCTCTCGCACGCCGCCGATTTTCAGCTCGCTTCCTTTAGCTTCTTTCCATTTTGCCTTTTCCGAGGCTCTGTTTTACACACCTCTCACACTCTTTTGAAGCACTGTGTCGACGATCTCTCCTCCGTGTGATCTTCTCTCGTTTAGGCCTGCCCTGACCCTCGTTGAATTTCACCATCATTCCTTCAGTCACTCGCTTTACCCTATCATGCCTGTACAATATACAAAGTAATACCCTATTGTCAACGCCAGTCGTCGTGCACTCTGTCACGTCCTGGCAAAGCATCCCGTGGCGCCCCAACCCGACGACTCCCTACCTCAACGACAAGAGCTCTCATCCCAGTGGCACACACATGGAGATGGAGCACACTGACCGGGGTCGGGGTCGGCCGGTGTCGACTTCGACAGTGAGTTTATTTTGTCTTAATGGCTCGTAGTCGCATGCTCTAACAACAAGTGATATAGGCGAGGTCTCATCAGACGACTGGATCTCTCTCACCGAACCACAACCACGTCTATGCCGGCTCTGCTTCTGGCCGCCAGTCGAATGCCTCGCAGGCGACGTTCGTGTCGACCATCAGTCAAGAGAAGGAACAGCTGAAGTGGGATGCCGACAAGGAGCTCAAGCGCGCGTCTAAGACGCTCCTGAAGATGCAGAAGTGGAGTCTGTTTCTCGGCCTCCTCATAATCAACGGAGTCGTCATCTGGGTCGCCGTCCAGTATCCCCAAGCCTACTACTTCACCATCGTCCTCCTCAGCGCCAACACCGTCTTTCAGGTGTTTATGATCCTCTGCATCTGTGTCGTCGCCTTCTACACGCACATCCTCAGTCGACTTTGGCGCAAGAAGGCAGCGAAGCCAGAGACGCCCGAGTCCATCGTCTACCTCTTGCCCTGCTACAATGAGAACTTGGAGGAACTCACCCGGTCTCTCGACTCGCTGGTTGTCCAGAGGAACGTCGTCGAAAATCCCAAGTTCATCCTGGTCGTCGTCGATGGGAACGTCAAGGGCCCCGGCATGACCAAGACCACGCAGGAGTACTTGCTCCAGGACATCTTCGGCCCCGGCCACTTCCAGCGCTTCCGCAACGGATACCGCGCCCACGACGGCCTCCACATGTCGGTCGATGTCCAGCACGGCACCTTCAAGGGCATCCCGTACCTCTTTGTCGGCAAGGCCCAGAACATGGGAAAGCGCGACTCCCTCTGCTTCGCCCGGTCCTTCCTGTACCACTACAACCGCCGCAGCGAGAACACCGAAACCATCTTCAATAGGGAGCTTTTCGACTACATGGGCACTCTCCTCCTCCAGGCCGGACTGGAAAAGGTCGACCTGCTCGCTGGCATGGACGCCGACACCGTCTTTGACGAAGACTGCATCCACGAAATGCTCAAGGTCCTCCGCGATGACCCCAAGCTCGTCGCCGCCTGCGGTCACGTCTGCGTTGACTACGACGGCAGGCAGTGGGGCATCTGGTCCATGTACCAAGGTTTTGAGTACTCGCTCACCCAAGGCCTTCGCCGCACTTTCCAGTCGGTGGTCACGGGCAAGGTCAACTGCCTCCCCGGTTGTTGCCAGCTGATCAAGGTCTGCGAGGAGACCTTTGGTGATCTCATCCTGCGCGAGAAGTTCGGCTACTGCCCCAAGCCCAACGACCTCATGACCACCCAGATCATGGGCATCTACTCGGAGGATTCCATCCACGCCACCACGTTCTTCTCGCTCTTCCCCAAGACCCAGACCGCGCAGGCCCTCCGCGCCAAGGCTTACACCATCGTCCCGCAGAACTGGAAAGTTTTCCTGTCCCAGCGCAAGCGTTGGTCGCTGGGCTCGGTGTCGAACCAGTTCACCATGATCTTCCGTCCCGGTATTCTCTGGATCGAACGTCTCCTGTCCCTCGTCACGGTTGCCACCTGGGCCATCACCCCCTTCACCGTCGCCGCCATTGCCCACTTGATCATCGCCTTCGTCAGGCATGGTACGGATCTGTGGCACGACCCTCCGTTCCTCGGCCTGTTTACTTTGCTGGCTATTAAATATGTAAGTCGCTTTTTCGGTCTCAACATTCCTCGATCCCATCGTTAACACGTGCATTCTAGGTGTACTCATTTGCCATCTGCTTCTGGCTTTGCCGCAACACCGTTGAGCGCATCCAGTATGCCCTCGGCTACCTCATGCACATCATCGCGGGCCCTTTTGTCAACCTCTTCATCTTCCTCTACTCTATCTACTACTCGGACGACTTCAAGTGGGGCAAGACACGCGAGGTCATTGGGGACGAGGAGAATGGCCGCATGTGCCACCAGTGATTCTAACAATGCAGTGGCGAACTATTAGACTTAAGACTCGGACGGCACTGCGTCATGACCAAGCGACTTTGCGTTTGGCTTTTTGGTTACCTTACTGCTTTTTCGTGATTCTACTTCGGGTAACTACATATTCATGACTATGCATCAGCGGTAATTCAAGGGCCGGGTATTGAATCTACTTACACCATGGTCTTGTGTATAGATAGTTAGGAGATAAACAAAAAGATATAACTAAATCTTTCGCTTCAACCACTGTAGACGTGAGATTTTGGATATTCTGATCTCAACTGCCATGGTCCGAGTCTCCGAACTTTGGATTCTTTCTGAGAACATGTCGGTGATGTCATTTTGGAGACTCGGTGTGTGACAGTTGTTGGAAGGTGCAGCACACACCAGGGTTTCTGAGGATTTTCTGGGCACTGGCCAGGCCCTGGGAGAATGAACTCCTGTACCCAACTTACTGTGTACAATACCACCGCCAACCCACCTAAAAATCAACCACATTTTGGCTCGCTTCTTTCACAGTGGCGCACAACGAATCCTCCTTTTCTTCAGCTGCAGAATCGCCACCAGCCTTCAAAATCAGCCGCTACTACAGCCTGACCACCTCAAGAAACAGCCTCCCCTGAATACACTAGGCGGTGTGCTCCGCAACTCACAAACAATATGGCAACAACAGCATCCCCATCCCGCGTCAATGCGGTCTACTATCCATCATGGCGCGTCTACCGCGGCCTGACACCCTCGTCCATGGATCTGGGCCGCATCACCCACATCATTTACGCATTTCTCCGGTATGTCTGATCGCTCCGTCTCGTCTCATTCTCAGCTCGTCTCGTCTCATGACACTAACCCTCATCTTGCCCAAAGCGTAAACAAAGACGGCAGTCTCCGTGTTGGTCCCACCCCTCCGTCCCTCCCCAACTTCCATCATTGCCACCTAACATGAGCCCAGCACATCGACCGCTACGCCGACATGACCCTTCCAATCCCCTCTGAAAATGTGATGGGCGCCCTCGCGGCCCTCGCGCGCGTCAAGACCACACATCCCCACATCCGCACCCTTATCTCGATCGGCGGCGGCGCCGGGAGCGCTGAGTTCCCGTTTCTCGCTGCGGACCCCTCTGCGGTGGCCAGATTTACTGTGGAAACCAGGGCCTTTATTGAAAAGTGGAGTTTCGATGGTGTCGATCGTAAGTTTTTTTTTAGCTGACCAAGTCCCCAAACGGAAGCGCGGTACAGGTTGAACCCAGCTGACAGCGACAAAAGTGGACTGGGAACACCCCGCCAATCCCACCCAAGCATCGCACTACCTGGCGCTACTGCGATCGTTCCGCTACGCGCTCCCCGCGCCGCGCTACCTCCTCACCACGGCCCTGCCAACGGGGCAGTACATCCTCAAGCACCTAGACCTCGGCGGGCTCAACGACGTGGTCGACTACGTCAACCTCATGGCCTACGACTTCTTCGGGCCCTGGACCAAGACTGCAGGCCACCACGCGCAGCTGCACTGTCCCCCCGGCGGAGAGGGACCGGCAGCAGCAGGTAAATCAGCCGCGTCTGGCGTCGGGTTCTCAATCCAGAACGGCCTCGACCCTGCCAAGATTGTGCTGGGCATCCCGCTGTACGCGCGAACTTTCAAACTCGGCGTCCCCAACAACAGCAAAGAAGCTTGCGGCACGATTGAATACCGCGATTTACAGCGCGAGTGGGTCCAGAACGCGACCGTGTGTAAGCTTACGGGCGCGGCGAGCTATCTGTGTGAGAGGGAGGAGGGGACTCAGATGCTAGTGAGTTTTGATGTGCCTGAGACGTTGAGGATGAAGGCGGCGTATGTGAGGAGCAAGGGCCTAGGTGGGTTGTTTTACTGGACCGGGACGGGGGATAGGGATGGCGCGGAGGAGGGATTGGTTGGTGTTGGGTTTGCGGAGATGAGGAAGTGAAGTGGTCAGGTAGTAACTACCTAGGGTACACGTGTTGGGAAGGTTGAGAGGCAGGGTTGCGGTTTGGTCTGGGTCTGGTCGATTTACCTTGTTCTCAGGCTGGGCTGGCGGACGAGAAATTTGATGTCTCAATGACTCTGGAAAGGTCAGCTGGAAGACTGCCCTAGGTGAAAAAAAAAAAAAAAAAAAATAAAAAAGAATAAAAAGATAAAAAAAGAAAAAGAAATGTACGCCTCATCGCTGAATGTCGTGGATTCAAGTGGGATGCACAAGTCATCCGGCAAGCGGTCTAGTGCAGTCTAAAGTGCACACTAGTAGTATGAAGCGGAGATGCCAGCAGTGAAATACAACCAGGGTCCTATGACGTTACGGCCGAGAACGGGCGAATGCGTCTGATGAGCAAGTTTCCGTCGCTGGCGTTGTTAGTTTACGTGGTGTTACCTCACTAAGGTATGCTTTTAAGTCCGAGTCTAAATCATAGTCAAAGCGCTATGAGCAAAGGTACCACAGCTGCACCGACGGCCCTTGAGCCAAGTGTGTGTCCGAAGAGACCCAAAACGGCAATTGATGACCGTCGTAGGCCTTGGTGATTGGCTGAACAAGGCAGTGAACGGAGGTACCTGACCGATTGTATCGTGCCCGGGCCCAGCGCATTGGATCACGCTCGGCAATTCCCGTTCTGGGCCTTGACAGGCGGGATGCGGCTGGGGGCATCAGCGATCGATCGGGCTGGTGCTTGGCTTGCCTCGACCACGGTTGCCCCAATTGAGGGCTGAGACTTCCCACAACTGTTGCCGGGTTTTCTTTATGTCACCCGCCTTTAGCTTCTGGGCTCCGGGCCCGGGCAGGCATGTGAAGACGCTGCGTCGGGAATCCCGACTTGAGCTGAGTGTTAGCAATGTCGCCTTTTCCAATACTACCTATTGACAACACCGTCATTGGCCTCTTCGTTTTTACTAAAGTGAGCTATTGGCGGTGGTCGCTGCGAATAAAATAGAAGCGCCGCGCCAGGGGTGTTGCCGAGAAAGGTCTAGAGGGACTAGGCCCCAAATACGGTACACAGCAGTTATCTGGGCCATACTACTGTCACGTTGAGGGAAAAACCAGACAGCCTAGGCCGTGAGGCTCATAGCAGGTCACGTCTGACGGGCTTACTGTGTACACCTGTCTTTTCTCTTCGTAGGATCCCCTAAACCGCTTTTGACGATTCCTAAGGCCGCCAAGCCAGCTAAAGGTTGAACCATTGACTGGCCCTGTCGGTGATACTTACAAACCTTATCCCTAAACACCCTCCACAATGCCTGTGGGGAGTGGATGCCTCCAAAGTCCTTATCGGCCCATCTTCGCCTTGTGGTTTGGCATACCAGGAAACCGGAAATTTGTACAAAGGGGTTAGTCACACAGTTCGCGGGCAGTCAACGTCCACCTACATCGGTAGTGTAAGCATTCTTGTCGTAACGCGCTGCAGATGCACCTATAGAGACCTAGTCCATTCTAGCCGTCGATCCCTTGCCTGTTATACACGATGAAGTTGCTCTCGTGCAGCGTCCTTTCGTTTCTCACTGTGCTCGCCGTAGCGGCAACAGACTCGTGCAACTGCGGCTTCACCAGCACCGTCAACGACCAGAGCGTCCTTTTCACCGAGGCCTTCGAGACCGACTTCCGCCATGTCGCCGACCTGAAGCCCTCGGAATGGCGGCCGCAGATGTACAACAAGACGGCCGCGGCGTCGCACGGACCGTACGGCCGTCTGTATTCCAACGCCACCACGCTGCCCAACACCGTTGGCTCCGACGCCGGGCTGCAGCTCGTTGTGTCGTCGGCCATCGTCGACACCCTCGTCCCATGCGCCGAGGTCGCCGCGAAGCGCAGGGACTTCTTCTACGGCACGTATCGCGTCGGTATGAAGCTGTCCAACGAGTCGGGCACCTGCGCTGCGTTTTACTGGGTAGGTCTTGTTGTTTTTCTTTGTTACCTTCTTTCTTTTCTGTTCCGGGCGATGTGCTAAAAGTACGTTATCTATGATAGTACTTCAACGACACGCAAGAAATCGACATAGAGTTCCTCTCCAAAGACTTCAACCCCTCCAACAACTCGTACCCGGTCAACATCGTCCTGCACAGCCCTCTCTCGCTCGCCACCGGCTTCGACGCCGTTAAGGCCGGCACCTGGACCGTCGCCTACCTCCCGTTCAACCCCGCCGAGGGCTTCCACGAGTACCGCTTCGACTTTGTGCAGGCCGCCGTCTACTTTTACGCCGACGGCACGTACCTGGCCGAGATGAAGGGACTCGCCGTCCCCACGACGGGCGGAAAGCTGCTGCTCGCACACTGGTCGAACGGGAAGGCCGCTTGGTCAGGCGGCCCGCCGAAGCAGGATTCCGTCATGACGGTGCAGTACGTCAAGGCGTACTTCAACTCCTCGGAGCCGGGCGTAGTAGAGGCAGCGCAGGATAGGTGTGACGCCCATGGCATGACTTGTGCCATTCCGGGGATGACCGAGGCTAAGGATCTGGACTCGGGCGCGGCCTTCTTCAACCTGACGAGCGCGAATGGAGGCAGTGGAAGTGCCGGCGGGAGTGGCTCTGGCGAGTCGACCTCGACCTCGCGGAGTGGTGGTGGAGAGAACTCGCGCTCAACTAGGGGATTAGGGTCGTTGTTAACTGCGTCGCTGATGGCTGGGTTTCTTCTCTCGTTGTAGTCTAGCTTTGCACCTATTATACAATCTACATGCCAGCCTTTTCTTCATGACTGGCAACCACCAGTTGTGGTAGTTAGCTCGCTTCCTCGCGTCTCGCCAGTTCTTCGGAATAGAGGGCTGCTCCATAACGCGAATATCTCGCTCAACGGTCGCCGGGGTAGCTGCGAAGACCACAGACTCGATATATCGCGTGTTGTCAAGATGTGCCGAGAAGAATGCTTGAGCCGGCAGTTCTCCGCTGTTCAATTTGCCATAGAATCCTGGTTCGTTCGGGTCGCCATATTTAGACTTCTTGGTGCGCTTGGGTCCTCCCCCCACTACTTCCTCGGGGACAGCCACTTGCTCTTGCATTTGCGGTGAATGCGTAGAGTACTGCGCAAACGAGTGATCTCGCGGAATAGGCGCTTCGTCATGGATCTCCTCCATATCGTCGTCATCAAATAGAAAGGCGGGTTCGTTGTCCAACAGTGGTGTCGGTGGCGGTGAGAGCCGTTGGCGCTCTGGGGTCGCTATCGGGATCGATTTCGGTGTAAGTAAGGCGGTCTCTGCTTGTTGTTGCGGGAGGACACTCGGCTCTTCGTGCTCTGTGGCATGCATCACGAGTTCAACATTCGGGTCAGCCGTTGACGACAACGTTGACTGTGATGCGGTTGAAGAACTCGCCGTATCATCTTCCACGGTTGCGGTCGTTGATGACTTCGTTGTGGTCTCTGTGGTTGAGTCTGGAGGAGGCGCAAACGCGACCTTCTTCCTCCTCGGTTGAACCACACGGTAAGACTCCATGACTCTCTGCTCATCTTCCTCGACTGTAGAGTCGCCGAACACAGCTTCGTACTCGGGGTCGTCTAAGGCATCGTCGTCTAGCTTGTAGTCTTCTCCTTCGTTGAACTTGACCGCCCTGACGCGCACGATCTCGTTAGTGCTAGGATTCCACATCCAATAGATCTTGCCGCGCAAGTCAACATAACCAATGAGCCTGCCCTTGAGTGCGCGTGGGCGGAACTTGTCGCTCTTATCGCGGTTGTGCGGTTTGACGTAGTAGTATGCATGGCACCAGTAAGTGCGTAATTGCTTGATGTGCGGCTTCCTTGGCGTCTTCTAGCATGCCCATCGCAGTGGCGAACATCTCATGGGGGCCCTCGTTCCCTGGATTCGCTTTGGTCGGAAGGAGATTCGTAATCATGACGGTCGTGTCAACGACGGATGGCCACAGCTTCTTCGGGATGTTGTACGCAATCATCGTGACTCTGGCGTTCTCGGTGATGATGGCAGCAGCGCGTTCAATCTTGCCGTTCTGCCACGGGATCTCTGGCGTGGTCTTCCAAATGGCGATGCCCCGGGCGTCGGCGAACACGGATAACTTGCTGTCTTGAAACTCCTTCGACGACTGGCCGAATTTGGTGCCGCGGTCGATGCCTAGGATTTGGGGCCATCTACTGGCAACATTGCAGACTTGAATAAACCACTCCTTGAGGCGCTCGAACATCTCCCCTTTGGTCTTGCCGTATTTGACCCAGTGGTAGCTAGACCACACGTCGATGATATGCATTGCGGACTTATAGCCAAGGTGACCACGATCCTTGTATGATGTCGTGTCCATGCGGACGAAATGGAAAGGGCGTGTTGCCTCAGTGGGAGCCCTCTTACCGAGCTCGTCAGTTGCCTTGCCCATGACGCAGGGCTCGCAAAAGTGGAAGTCGTCTTTCGTGATAGTGATGCCTGCGTCCTTGCATGCAGCTTCCACCATGTTCTTGCCTGCATGCATAAGGCGACGGTGCATGACGCGGTAGTTGATCGATGCGAGCACGGCAGCGTTGACAGAGTCTGCCTGTGCCACCTGCTTCCCAGAGTCGTCGGGACCGCGTTGTTGAGGATGAAGACATCGCCAACGCGTTCCAGTTTCGTGATGACTTGGCCCGAATCCTCCCGGTACAGTATGTTGTTCCTCTGGTCCCAGTAAATACCCTCATCCATGAGCTTGCCAGTGCAGAGAAGGTTGGCTGATGACTTGGGGTAGTACAGGGCGTTCCTCAGCTCAACGGTGACCTCCGCGCCGTCACTCAAGCGGGTCTTATAAGCACCTACCCCAATCTCAGAGGCCATCGTGACGCCGTCTGAGGAAGAGAGGTAGTATTCCGGTTTCGCGAGCTTGTGGATTTCCGTGAACCACTTGAGGTCGTTGAACACGGTGTCTGCAGCGGCTGAGTCGTAGTAAATGACGTCTCGCATTGCCTTACGGACCTGTTGGACTTCGGAGTCCAGTACTAGTGCTGGGTCCGGGGGCACTCCTGAAAATGCGGCTGCAGTGCCATGAAGTTCGTGGAGTGCAGGAGATGCATCGCACGCGCTGTCGAGTTGGCTGGGTTAGCCAAGCCAGAGTTCTGGTGAACCAGAGCGGTTGACGACGTCGTCGTGGTATTGGCCTCCCTGGCGCTCTTCTTCTCCAAGTACTGTGTCTTGTATTTCCAGCTGTCTGGAGCCTTCTCGGGGTTGCAGACCCAACAAGGACCAGCCGGGTTGTGATGATAACCGCAAGTACTGCAGTGGTGAACCTCCCACTTGAAGTACTTGCCGCATTGGGAGCACTTCTTGTCGCCAAACTGTTTGATTCGGTCTGCGCGTGGCTGTTCTTCAGTCTTTCTACCCTCCTCGGCAGTGTCGGACGACGACGAGGGGGTGGTTGTGTCGTCCTTCTTCTTGCCAGGGGCGCCAACACTCACTGTGACCATGGCCTTCTTCGCAGAGTCACGGTCCACGCAAGTCTCCGTCATATCCTTGACGAGATCCTCCCACGACAGGGTCTCGTCCTCCATCTTCTTTTTGTTCCGATCGAAGAGCTCGGGGTAACTCTCCTTGATGGCAGAGAGGACAGTGTAGACGTCAGTCTCAAGAGGGTGCGCAATGCCAATGTTCCTCAGGCGCTGGCGAATGGTGCAGACGCGGTTGATGTACGCGTCCATGGAGTCGTACTTAGATGGCTTGAGCTCGAAGAATTCCTTGATGAGCAATTGGGTCGTGTGGACTGTACCATGTTGAAATGCCTCGAAAACCTTCAGGTAGGTCTGACGCGGGTTAACATCTTCTGGCTTCAAGCCAATGCGTGTCATGCGTGACCAGATCGTGCCCTTCTTTAACGAAGCTGTCATGAGCTTGAAGATGTCTGCACGGTCGGCGTTCCACTTGCTGACTTCGTCAGTGATGTCGTCCTCCTCATGGGTCGGCTCAGGCTTGGGAATGTCGCTCTCGAGATACTTGAACAAGCCATACTGGACCAGCGCGGTGCGCAACTGCAAGTCCCAGTTCTCGAGGTCAGCGTCGCTCATGATGACGGGAAGGGTCACGAAGACGCGCTTCTCCACCATCGCGTTGTTGTTCGTTGCCTTCACGAGCTTCTGCACTGCCGCCAAGTGTTCCAATTCCTGGAGACGCATGCGCTCCTCCATCATTTCCTTCTCCTTGAGCAGAGCGCGCTCATGCTTCATGCTCTCCTTCTCGTGCACCAGCTGCTTCTCATGGAGGTCAGCCAGCAGTGTCATGATGGCCGTCTGGTCTCCCAGTTGGCCAGTGCGGTCCGTGAGGTTCGTAAGGCGGGTAGTGAAAGGGTTCTCGGGGTTAGGATCTTCTTGGAATTCGGAGCTGACGTGAGTGTCTTCGTCCTCCTGACGGCGCTCGGGTTCCTTGCCAAGGTTGGCTCCGGCGCGGTTGAGCTCGCCGTCCACGATGTCGACCAACGGAGTATTCTGCATGTCAAGCATGTCTTCTTCGTCACCAAGGTAGATGCTACGGCGCGAGGGCCCAGCTCGGGCGGACTCTCTAGCCATTGTGTCGTTCACTGCTTCCTGACCGCTGCGATTTATCCCTCGTTTGTGATTGCGCCCCTACTTGCTGGTGGCATCTTTACCGGATACGGTTAGCCTTTCTTTATATAGCTAAAGGCCACGATCCAATTAATGCAGTCGGTACATCTTGGTTCCTACAACTTTGGCCTGCCCACTCTCATTAAAATCACGCAGGACGGTAACAACCTTATCATGACCACCATGCAACGCACCTACCTCGCCTTCCAACACAACTGCCGTCTGTCAACCCTGCAAGCCACAGTGACGGCGATCAAGACGGTCGCGTCGCTCGAGGAGCCCAACCGAAGCCTCTTCAAGCAGGCCAAGGACGACGACCACGTTGTGATCACCGATTCCACCATCTTCCACCCGCAGGGCGGCGGTCAGCCCTCGGATGTCGGCCACATGACGAGCGGGGCCGGCGCCCGGTTCGATGTGCACATGGTGCGCATGAGCGCGGCTGCGCAGGGCGAGGTGCTGCATTTCGGGCGCTTCGCGGATGCGGATGCGGATGCGGCGTCCGTCTTCCGGCCCGGCGAGACGGTCACGCAGGTTATCGATGCGGAGAAGCGCCTGCTGTATTCACGGTACCATACCGCGGGCCATGTATTGGGCGCTGCCGTGCGGCATCTGGTGGAGAAGGAGGTTGCGGGTTTCGATGAGACCAAGGCGTCGCATTTTCCGGACTCGGCGTCGTGCGAGTTCCAGGGGTTGATCGACTCGAAGTGGAAGGATGCGATCCAGCAGAGAGTCGATGAGTATGTCGAGAAGGACATGGCTGTGGAGATCGACTGGTGGGACGAGGACGATTTCAGGGCGAACGGAATGGAGCGGCTGATACCAGACCGAGCGGCTCTGGGCATGGCCGACGGGGAGAAGTTCAGAGTCGTGAAGATCGTGGGGGCTGAGACCTATCCTTGCGGCGGCACCCATGTCCAGAGCACCCGGCAATGTGGCAGGACAATGGTCAAGAAGATCAGCCGGGCCAAGGGGACGAGCAGGGTGGGATACTTCTTGCCCTGAGCGACCTTATCCGCGGTCTCGTTGCCAATCAGAACGGACTTCGCCAAAAATACAGGATACAGCTTGGTCTAGCCAACGACAAACATATCTGCAGCATCAGACACATTATTTAATTGCGATTATACACGGGCATGTACGGATGTACATACCATTCCGGAGTTCTCCGGTGTGGTACAGAGAGAGACAATCCGTAAGCAGGGGTTGAAGGGACCTGGACGGCACGGTGCATGGCACACCTCCAGGCTGGCATTCAAGGCATTTTGAGGGCACCGACCTGGCTCTCAGAACTTCAACCAGAGAACCACCAATCACCACAAAATACAACCACATTTCAACTGTCTTCTTGAGCGTGCTGCATGCATGGCGCCGTACGACTGGCCAGGGCACCAAGACGCCCCAACAGCAATGTATTACATTTATAGTACGAACCGGGACGATAGCTCCATCACGCAGCCATTGGTTTGATCGTAGCCGAGGACGAGGGGGCGTATGGGTTCTTAGCTGCCGACCCTACCCGGCCGCCAAACTCATAACATAAGGGCCTCCTCGACAGTTTCTTCGTCGCTATTGGATACCGGTCCCCCCCTCATGCTGCATTCAGTCCCCCCAACTCCTCTGCCCATTTTAAGCATGGACTACCTAAACCCGTACTTCGCACTGTCCCTCCAAAGTGTGTGTATGTCTTCTCGATTACCACTGCTATCCAGCTCCCCAGATCTCCTCGTCTCGACTTGCCAGTTCATCGTGACGATCCTCGTAGATTTCGACCGTGTATGCAGTCGTTGCAAGATTCTTAGGTTCTACGATGCAGCTTGGGGGGTTTGAAAGCGTCTGGAGCTACGACGGCGAGCCAGAGCTGAAGTTCAACGAGAATAACTGCCAACGAGAATTTAGGCTGGAGTATGAACTCGAGGACCAGTATCCCGAACTGCCAACCCTGAGCAGCTCCTCCGCCGGAGGATGCGAACCCTGCGTCTTTATTATGACGGCGATCCTTTCAAATGTCTGCCGGCAAAAGTTCGACTGGTTCATGGGACCCGGGAGTGCCTTTGGCTTGACCATACGGCTGAGTTATTGGTGGCATGGCTTCGCTGAGGATGGGCTGAAGCATCAAGGGCTTAGCCTGCTCGATATTGAACTGTCTTAGGTATGCTTCGGTGAGTTGGACTTGCGAGTGCTGCCCGAGAACCCCCTATTGAATAACTCTCGTTAACCGACGGAGAGGGCGACGAGGAGGAGTTCCAGGTCGGCGAAGTTCGACAGTTAGACTTGGACCGGGAGGACCTCTACAACGAGTGGAGAGAGCTGATGAACAATCTGGCTTAGCGTAACCTCACAGAGTCACAAAGGCGACCGATCTTTGCCCCGCCTCGTCAGGGTTGGCGAGGTGGTTCAAGGAGACAATGAGCCTCGATGACAGCGATTCCGTGGCGGCCTTATAGAGAGAGGATCTGGTATGTTAGCCTATGTGGTGGGGACAAGACAAATATTTTGAGACGCAAAGTGCCCAAGCTACACTCCTAGCAAGCTATCTCTGCCGGCTCGCTCGGCCAGAGCCGTACGTCGCGCTGTCGTGGAGTTAGGTTGCGCCATTACCAGCCATGCCGGGCTTTCTGCTCAAGAATGAGTTTGTTGGGAGACGTGTTGATGCTCAGAAACGAGCGGCTCTGTTTCAGCACCGCTGTCACCCCAAAGCGCAGCTTCAAGCATCAACGATACCGAGTACGACAAATCCCTTGGTGAACTCGTCCGGGGAGGGGGCCGACTTACGATAACTGGGCCCGCTTGTTCATTCTCCGAGGCAGTGACCTAGAAAGAACAGATCCTGGGTTTTGGCATCAAGGCATGGCTCCTACGGGCCAACAAAGACTGTTTTATGATGATTTCTCTACTGTTGGCTGAAATGGACACCGATGGATGATTGGCCTGGCCATTCGAGGGTGAAAGCGAGATAGTGACCGTAGGGTGTTGCGTTGGCCAGGAGAAGGAGTACCAAGAGGATGAACAGTATCAAAAGGATAAGAAATATCAGGAGGACCAAGAGTACTAGGGCGATGAGGAGTATCGGGGCGGCGAGAAGGACAAGGAGGACGAGAATGCCGAGGAGGTCAAGAAGGGCAAGGAAGACGGCAACAGGGATCAGGACACAATGCCAGATGGGAGCGGGCGTGTTGTTTACGGACTCCTGCTAAATCCATCGCCAATGGGCGACGGTAAGTATCTTCGTATCGGAGTATCTCTCACACACCACGAGGGTTCCGCCGATTGGAGGTCCTTCAACAGTTACCCGCGTAAGGTGGTTGAGGTCGTCTGGACGAGAGACATCTCTTTCGGGCACAAAGAGTGACATGGGCTTCGAGTAGCAGAATCCATACATTGTTTAGGGCGACATGATCAAGACGGTGCTGCTTGAATATGATGATGCCAGGGGTTAATCACAAGCCTTAAGTTAGCATGATCCAGCACAGGCTGCTCACCTCAAGCCGATGCACCGCCTTACACCGTTGAGCAATGGCGTTGAGGCGTTGGTTGCGACTGTTACTTCGGTACGGAGTCAGGTAGCCACATACGTGTGACCATCAGACATGATACACGGCTTTGAGCGGGCCTCAAATTGGTACTCCTAGCGTGGATGCGTAGGAGAGTCAGTTCTGGCTGGTCTAAGCGTAAGTCGCTAATGCTGTGGTCGTTTGTTTTGCTTTCGTTCCCGGTCTTTTATGAGGTACGACTTGAGAATTTTGATGATGAGTCGGTTCAACTTGACGATGAAAACTGCGTACTTGTACCTGAAGGATACCTACCTAGGTTCCAGCTGCCAATGTGGTGGGGCACGTGTGGGGTGAGTGAGTGGGTCAGCGTTCAGTTACCCGCCCGTGCCGCCGTTTCAGCAGATCTGCGTTTGATAGCCAATCGATTCAAACAGGGACCTGCGTTTGAGACGAGCGGCAACCGCAAGGCGGCCAAAACCCCACCTTCCTGGCCTATGCCTGGCTCTCGCTGCCTTCTATTTCGTTTCGCCAAATGCACTTTAAGTGGCGGGCAGGAAACCCGGTGATAGATTAGAATTAGAAGAAGATTCAACATCAGCGCCACGTTGCTGGCTTGGTGGAACCATTTGGCATTTCAATGTGGGGCCAAAAACACACCGACCTTTCAAGTCGGCAACTGAACCTGGAAAACTCCAGCATTTCAACTTGCCGTACGGATCCGTAGTGCTCACGGGTGGCGGCGTTTCTGCCCGATGCCGGGCTGGCATCACAGGAAGCAGTTTTGCAAGCCCGGGAACCATGTGAACAGGGACGGGAGTCACCAGCAGCGATCCCGCTTCTGGTCCGAGCGCGGGAGCCCCGCTGTGTGAAGGCCGCTTCACGATCCTCAAAACGACTGGCTGTGGAGGGTCGGGCGCTTATAATGGCGAGCGCTTGCCAGAGTGACCGACGAGCAAGGCATTGGCTTTGAGGGCGACAAAGAAACGAATGCCAAGATCTATTCTTGCATCTACTCATTGTCCGCCGCGAAGGTCATGCCTTGTGTGCGCGGCCATGCTTCCTTTTATTGTGTCCCCACCCCTCGCACGGCTGCGCTATTGTTGCCCTGCTTTGCTATTGTTCTCCCGCTTCACTCCCATTCCACCATTCTCCTATTGTTACACATAGAGTCATGCATCACCAAGGCGTTTGTATGAATCATTCCCTTGCTTGATCACTGTTTCTATTTTTTTCTTGTCTCTCGGAATTCCCTTTCCTTCGCATTCGGCATAGCTGGTCTATCCATCACCGATCATCAACTTCCTAATCCGGTAACCGTACTAATACCAACACAACACAACCACCACACCGAAAGTTCACTGCCGCCCACGATCTCCCATTCCAAATATTGTTGGACGGCATCATGTTCTATAACGAGAAGTCGGGGGCAGTGCCCCCGGTCCCTCCGAACCTCAACCCCAACGTCTGGCACTCGGTTGATCTCCAGGACCAGCCCCAAGGCGCAGCAACCCGCCAGCTTCAACCACACGCTCACACCGCACCATCCGTCACGCCTTACCTAGGGCTCCGAGCACGATTGTCACAGCTCTGGTTCAACCGCTGGACCATTCTCCTGATCCTCGTCCTCGTCCGCGTCATCCTCCTGACAGGCAGTCTCAACGACAACCTCGGCGATGCCAAGGCCAAGGCTCTGTCAGCATGTACCAAAGTCGAAGACATCGGCAGTGCCATGGCCTCCATGCCGCACTACCTGTCCGTCGGCGTCAACTCGCTCGCCTCCGACGGCATCACCAAGGCGGTCTCGGGCATGGTGAAGATCCTGATGATGATCCTGACCGGCGTCGAGAACCTCATCTTCTTCGTCATCAACATGTATGTGGGCACCTGGGCTTGCCTGGTCGCGGCCCTGATCCACGGAGGCTTGGACATCTCGGTCAAGGTGGTTGAGGGAGCTACCAAAGTCATGAACGAGGCCATTAGCACCATCACCGGCCAGATTTCAGAAACCGTCTCCGATGTCCAGAAGGCCATCAACGACATCCCGGGCAAGGTAACGAGCTTCCTTGGCGTCCCTGGTCTCGAGCTCCCTCAGATCGACATCACGAAGAATCTGGACGACCTCAAGAACATCAAGGTCAACAGCAACGACCTCGTGAAGGACCTGGTGTCTTTGAACACGACAATCCCGACCTTCGACCAGGTTGAAAACTTCACCAAGAACGCGATCGGCATCCCCTTCGATTTCCTCAAACAGCAGGTCAACGAGAGCTTCGGTTCCTACAAGTTTGACGAGTCGGTGTTTCCCGTGGCCCAGAAGCAGGCGCTCTCCTTCTGCTCCGACAATTCATTCCTCAACGACTTCTTCAACACGCTCTTCGGCATTGTCGCAAAGGCGAAGATCGCGTTCGCCGTCGTCATCCCGATCCTGGCCGTCCTGGCCATGCTGGGCATGGGATACTTGGAGATACGGCGCTGGCGGAGGGAGAAGAGTCAAGCCGAGTTCTTCACCAAGCAAGGCTACGACCCCATGGACGTGGTTTACATGGCCTCGCGACCATTCACATCCCGGGTGGGAGTCAAGCTCGCATCCAAGTTCAAGGGCAGGAACATCCTCCTCGTTCGGTGGGCGATCGCCTATGGCACCTCGCTCCCTGCACTGTTTGTCCTGTCTCTTGCCATCGCCGGCTTTTTCTCCTGCTTCTGCCAGTTCATCATCTTGAACTCCATCGAAAAGGAGGCGCCCGCGCTAGCGAACCAGGTCGGCGACTTTGCGGGAGATGTCGTCACCACGCTCAAGCAAGTCTCAACGGACTGGGCCGACGACGCCAACGGTGTGATTCTCAAGCTCCAGGACGACATCAACGGCGACGTATTAGGCTGGGTGACCAACGCCACCAGCGCCGTCAACAACACGCTCGAAACGTTTGACGAGGAGATCAACAAGGCCGTCACCACCGTGTTCAACAACACCATCCTGCTCAACACGGCGCGCGACCTGATCGGCTGCGTGATCACGCGGAAGATCGACGCGGTGCAGAAGGGCCTCACCTGGGTGCACGACAACGCGCACGTCACGCTGCCGCTCTTCTCCAACGACGTCTTCTCGCGGGGTGCCAACGATAGCGTCAACGGCGACAGCGACCTGACCAGCTTCCTGGCCTCGCCCTCCAGCGTCACTACCGACGAGATCACCTCGGCCGTCGACCAGGTCATCACCAAGCTGCGCAACGGCATCGTCCAGGAGGCGCTCATCTCGACCGCGCTGCTCCTCGTGTACGTCATCGTCATCCTGATCGGCGTCGTCCGCGCCCTTGCGACCGCGGCAACACCTGACAAGACACGGGCTGAAGGCGGCGAGCAATACGGCGTCAAGGTCCCGCCGCCCTACAGCAGCAGCAGCAGCAGCAGCAGCAGCAGCAGTAACAACAACAACTCCAGCCTCGAGTACGACAACGATGTCGTCTACGCCGGCAACGTCAAGAGGGGGAGACCGGGTCCCGCGAGATGGCCGTCGCATGCCAGGAAAAGCAGCCATCCCGAGGTGGAAGAGGGCTCGGACCGCTAGGGACGGTCGGGGTGTCTTCCTCGGGAAGAAAGGCAACTAAAGCTTGCAGTGTCTGGGTGGAGTTGGAGCCTTTGGGCGTGGATCCGTGAGGCCTGGAAGAAACTCGCGACACAGCTGGGGCGCGTAAGGGAGCTGCAACTTACCGTGCCTGGGTGGGCCCGGCAGCATGGGGCGCGGATCCGGGGGCTTGGAGATCCCCTTCGGCGGGTAAGACAACGGGGCCGTGGTGTTGATGCTGCGGACCAGGATCGCAGTCGGCAAGCCACTCGCCGCGCTGGAGAGGTCGCGGAACGGCCTAGGAGGAATCTGGATCCCTTGCCGCGGCGTCGCGATTCGATGGATGAGGAGTTGGGACTATCCATGCCGCCACCGCCCAAGTACTCACCGATTTAATTTGCGCCCCCCCGGAGTTTGCGGTTCTCTCAAAGTACATCGATTGTGTTTTCTTTGTTATTAGCGTCTGGAAATATATGATGATACCCCCAAAGATTTGGTTATGATGTGTCGATGACCCGCAAGTCAGATGGTGAGAGTTATCTCGTAGTAGGTAAGCAGTGAGCTCGTCTGGATAATCGTTTATCATCCCCTGTCAACGCAACTGGGTCCCGGCTAAACTCAACACCCAGCCTTCAAAGTCATGGCGGGAATCAGTACACAGATTTGGGAATACGGTATCAACATCCTAAGATGCAGGCCCTACTGTTTAGGTAGCAATGGATGTTTGTTACTCCGGCTAAGTCGGATGTCTTCATATCGTAAAGTAGGTGGCAACTGCTCCGCCGGGATCGGGGTCTCCGGGAAGGTGGGTTGGTGGCGGGGCGGGGCACTGGAACCCACTCAAGCCTATGGAAAGTGTTTTGACTCAAAACCTGCCTCGCCTTTCACCTGTGCTTGCTATTTGAACGTCTTTCAACACTTCGACAAAGGCTCTCTCGGATCCTGACAACACACCGCCGTAACCCCCCTTGGCGACATTCGTTGTGCGACAAGACCGAGCCGCGACCGGCTCAATTGACCACCATTGGCAACCATGGAGGCCATTAAGGAGACTTTCCAGCGCTGCAAGGCCCAGAAGCGGGTATGTACATACTGGCAGTTTGCCCCGCAGGCAAACAAGACACGAGGCAATGGATGTGGCAACCGCTAACTGAGACTGCCGCGGTAGGCTGCGCTCGTGACCTATGTCACGGCCGGATTCCCGACGCCCGAGCTGACGCCTGATATCCTTCTCTCCATGGAGAAGGGTGGCGCCGACGTGATCGAGCTCGGCGTTCCGTTTACGGACCCGATCGCCGACGGCCCGACCATCCAAACCGCGAACACCGTGAGTTCAAATGAACACCACTCGCGAGGCATTGGCTTCCGATGCCGTAGCAATTCGCTGACCCATGCTATCCTCGGACCTTTAGATTGCCCTCAAAAATGGCGTCACGATCCAGTCGACCCTGCAGATGATCCGCGATGCCCGCAAGCGCGGCCTGCGTGCGCCCATCCTGATGATGGGCTACTACAACCCGCTGCTGAGCTACGGCGAGGAGCGCCTTATGAAGGACTGCCGGGAGGCCGGGGTTAATGGCTTCATCATTGTCGACCTGCCGCCCGAGGAGGCCGTCTCGTTCCGCAGGCTGTGCAGCCGTGGAGGGTATGTCTCACCTTCGACGCAATCATAGTTGTATACTGAGCTGACCACGGTCCTCACAGTCTGTCTTATGTGCCTCTGATCGCCCCGGCTACCTCCGACGCCCGCATGCGCATCCTCTGCCAGTTGGCCGACTCGTTCATCTACGTCGTCTCCCGCCAGGGCGTGACCGGTGCCCTTGGGACCCTCAATGCCAACCTCCCTGAACTGCTGGCGCGGGTCAAGAAGTACAGCGGCGACAAGCCCGCTGCTGTGGGCTTCGGCGTGAGCACCCGCGACCACTTCGTTTCGGTCGCCCACATCGCCGACGGTGTTGTGGTTGGCAGCCAGATTGTCACCACCCTGCAGCAGGCTGCCAAGGGCGAGGAGACGAAGTCGGTCCAGGAGTTCTGCTCCTACCTCTGCGGTCGCACCACCTCCGCCGAGGAAGAGGCCACGCGCGAGGTCGGCATTATGGAGGCCATCTCGGGGACCAAGGAGGCCGACGGCAACAAAGTCCACGTGGACGGTGTTGTCACGGAGGGGACCGATGATCTCGTCGCGCAACTCTCGGCCATGCACGGCAAGATCCCCGAGCGCTTCGGCGAGTTCGGTGGGCAATATGTCCCAGAGTCGCTGATGGATTGTTTGTCGGAGCTTGAAGAGGGCTTCAACAAGATCAAAGACGACCCTGACTTTTGGGAGGAGTACCGCTCCTACTACCCCTGGATGGGCCGCCCCGGCCACTTGCACAAGGCGGAGCGGCTGACGGAGTATGCCGGCGGCGCGAACATCTGGCTGAAGCGGGAGGATCTCAACCACACCGGATCCCACAAGATTAACAACGCATTGGGCCAGCTTCTCCTTGCCCGTCGCCTCGGCAAGACCAAGATCATCGCCGAGACCGGTGCCGGTCAGCACGGTGTTGCGACGGCTACCGTGTGCGCTAAGTTCGGCATGGAGTGCACGGTCTACATGGGCGCCGAGGATGTGCGCCGCCAGGCACTTAACGTGTTCCGGATGAAGCTCCTCGGTGCCAAGGTCGTTGCGGTCGAAGCCGGTAGCCGCACCCTCCGTGACGCCGTCAACGAAGCCCTCCGCGCCTGGGTCGTCCACCTCGAGGACACGCACTACATCATCGGCTCTGCCATCGGACCGCACCCGTTCCCGACCATCGTGCGCACCTTCCAGTCGGTCATTGGTCGCGAGACTAAGGCACAGATGCTCGAGAAGCGCGGCAAACTCCCCGATGCTGTGGTGGCATGCGTTGGGGGCGGCAGCAATGCTGTGGGCATGTTCTACCCCTTCCGCGACGACCCGAGCGTCAAGCTTCTCGGCGTCGAGGCCGGCGGTGACGGCGTGGACACGGCCCGCCACAGCGCAACTCTCACTGCTGGCACCAAGGGCGTGCTCCACGGTGTGCGCACCTACATCTTACAGAACGAGCACGGCCAGATCGACGACACGCACTCCGTCTCGGCCGGTCTGGACTATCCTGGCGTTGGGCCGGAGCTGTCCCACTGGAAAGACACGGAGCGCGCCAAGTTCATTGCTGCGACGGATGCCCAGGCTTTTATCGGGTTCAAGCTGATGAGCCAGCTCGAGGGTATCATCCCCGCCCTGGAGTCTTCGCATGGTATCTATGGCGCCATTGAGCTGGCCAAGACCATGGACAAGGATAAGGACATTGTCATCTGCCTGAGCGGGCGTGGCGACAAGGACGTCCAGAGCGTTGCTGACGAGCTGCCCAAGCTCGGCCCGCAGATTGGCTGGGACCTGCGTTTCTGAGCTGCGGCAATGGCCAGGCTATCTGGTGGCTGATATATAATCTGGCTTTGGCAATCTTGCTCGATGTAGCGACGGAGGATATGCAAGAATCATAGAGCTTCATAGATTTGAATGGGATGGACGTCAAATTGATGTGCATGGTTGCTTTCCGTGATGCAGTGGTACACACGTCTCTAGGGTCATGACATTCCGGTGGCGAGGGTGGCAGAAGCAACGATGCTCTTCCTAAGCCATACTTCCATCTATGAGATTGCCGTGGGAGTTGCAACCGAATGTACAAATATGATACAGCTCTTTGTAGATACGACGACACCCAGAATCTACATAGCCCTCTCGTCCCATAGGAGCTCATGCTTTCCTGGGCTTCTCCTCCCTCATGAACCCACCCTCCTCCTCCGCCTCCGCCCCGAGCTTAAACTCGCTCCCTTCCTGCAACATCCTATCCGTCTCCGCCATCAACGCATCCCCCGCAGAACTCCCATCGGGCAACTCAGCCTCCGCCTCCGCCCGCAACTCGGTCTCCTCCTTAGGCGGTAGCCCAAGCGCGGCCCTCTCCCTGGCAAAACGCTCCCGCACCGACGGGGTCTGCATGATCCGCCACCGCAGCCGCCACCCCCAGGGTCCCAGGTCCTTGACGCGCTGCGGCTTGCGTCCGAGCAGGTACTCGTCCAGCCCCCCGACCTTGTCGATCGTGCGCAGCACGCGGGCCGTCACGCGCGTCTTGACGAACACGCCCAGCGACGCCGACCAGAGGCGCTTGTGGTGCACGTTGGGCCGCCACTTGCGCCGCGTCTTGATCTCGTTCTCTTCCGACACGTTGTTGCCGAAGCGGATGCGTGCTTCGCCGTAGAGGCCTGTGTTGGATTGGTGGTAGAAGGGGCGTGGGCCGTAGGGGTAGGGCGGGATTTCTGGGTGCGGCGCCGTCACCGACGGAATGGGCAGGTCGGAGTCCGGGATGGCGGGTTGTTTGTAAGATTTCGGGGTTGTTGTTGTCAGGGTTCTTCGAGTCGCTGAGCTTGTCGTTGAGAGAATGCGTCGCAGGGCTGTTAAGGAGGAGGGGCGCGCTGCTGATGCTGATGCTGAGGCGGATGCCCGGAGCAGGCAGCTCTGCATGGGGAGTGTCGGCGGCATGGTAGGAGGATTTTTGCTGAGCCGCGACGTTTCGGTGGGCTTCTGCTATGGCTGTTGCATTGGCAGGTCTTGCGGGTCAATTGACTCCTCCTGTTGAGTGATCGCTCGAGGTTAGACCGCGACCCGGTGCTGTTAACGCTGTCGGCGCAGGTGGTTGTTGCAAGGTCGAAAATTCAGAGCAATTGGAACCACGAGGTGCTCCCAGCTGCCAGGAAGGTCCGACAGCTGGTAGCCGGTCAAATCCATTGCTAGAAGAGTCGGTCACATGCTTTCGCGGGGACTGTCGCGCGCTCTCGCCAATGGTCCCGCTGCAACGCCAGCAGCCGACAGCCACAATGCTTCCTCCCGTCGACGAATCGGTCCTGCAGGCCAATCCAGAGTTTGCAACGCTCTATTCCAAACTCACAATCGATATACTCAATCCTGATGGATCCACCAGAAAAGGCCCCGGCGCAGACGAGCGCAGGTCGGTTACAGAAGTAAGACGCGACATTTCACACAGCTCGGACCGCAATCGAGCCACATGTTAACATTGCATCTGCCAGGAACTGAACGAATACCGGCTCGAAGCTGCCAAACAACATCTCCTTTGCGATGCGATATCCATCGCAAACCCGCAGTCCCTCCAACCCAAGCATGCCCCGGCGCCATCCTTGACGAGGCGGCCACGACCGCAGCAGCAGACGTCGTCCCAAGCTCCAGAGCTCCCAGAAGCGCTGATCGACCTCCTCCTGCTCCTCTCGTCGCTCCTTGCCACCTCACCCACCGATCTGTCTCCCGAATCTGTTGCCTTACTCCTCTCCAACCCGCCCCTGTCCGACTTCCCAGCCCACCTCCCACAGCTCGCAGCCCTCGTCTCCCACACACTCCACTCGTCCGCCGTACACCTCGCGCGAATAGCCAACCCTTCCACCAACCCGTCCTACGTCCACCGCTCCATCCCCTCCCTCCCGACCCACGCCGCCTCCCTCTCAATGGGCATCACCAACCTCAACGCAGAACTCACCGGCTCCCGACTAGCCGCTGCTTCCGAGCTCACCACGCTCTTACACAACCAAACGGGCGCCCTGTCCCAGCTCCTGCGCGCACTAGAAGCGAAGCACGGGCCCGTGGCGCGCTCGCTCGAGTTCCGCGCCACCGAGGCCGCCCTCACGGCGCAGCGCCAGCAGGCCGAGGCCGAGTCGACGCTCTGGCTCGCCCGGCGCGAGACATACACCCCCCAAGCGGCGCAGGCGCTGCGGAATTATGCGAGCCACCTAAGGGACGCAAGGGCGCGGTTGAGCGAGGCGGTGCATGCGCTTAGGGGGGAGCTGGAGGCGTACGGTGTTACTATCGCTGATGGTGGTGATCATCATGATGATGGTGGGAAACGGGAAGGCAGTGGAGGTGGAAGAGGTGGTGGGGGGAAGGACAAGGAAAAGATCATGCGGGAGATGGCGCGGGTGTATCGTGACATGGGACGGCAGATGGAGGAGGTAAGGGGGGATTTGGTGCGGTTGGGCAGGGCATGAGTGTGTGGCCACATGAAACGGGAGGGAGGTCTGTTTCCTCGGTCGCGCAGAGATGAGCAAAGGGTGACGCGGGAATTTCCTCGTCCCTCAGAGCTGACGCGTTTCTGTGTAAAGGGGGTACTGTACAACTCCTTGCCAGCGGAAGTCAAGATCTGTGACCTCCCTTTTTGTATGCTTCTGTGTATCCGTGCTGTGTTGAACCGAGGAACCTTTCTCCGCTGTACATGCGAGACACCCGATCCAAGTACAGAACCACATCCTAAATCAAGTGCCCCCTCTAATAGGGATACAGTCTAGCGACGGCGAGTTGTACAGTAGATGCACATAGATGCGGGGAAAGATCGAGCCATATCAGAAACGAGGAGAAACCCAGTCAGTGAGCCAACCACCCATTACTCCCAACCCCTTCTCCTCATGCTTCTTCTCGTTACATCATCTACTTACCACATGCTGCGTACAGATTCAACCCTTGACCTTGAAGATGGCCTCGGCCAGACGGCCAACGTTGTCGCTAGTGATACCAGCCACGGAGATGCGGCCGTCGCGGGTGGCGTACACGCTGTGCTCCTTCATGAGCTGGTCCATTTGCTCCGGGGTCAGGCCCGTGTAGGCGAACATGCCGATCTGACTGGTGATGTGACTCCAGTCGTGCTTGGACCCGAGCTTCTCGAGGTTCTCCTTGAGCAGGGCGCGCATGGTGATGATGCGGTCGGCCATCTCCTTGACCTCGACCAGCCACTGGTCGTACAAGGCCGGGGTGTTGAGGATCTCGGCGGCGATGCGCGCGCCGTGGATCGGCGGGTTCGAGTACATGGGCCGCACCAGGATCTTGATCTGCGAGTCGACCCGCTTGCGCTCCTCGGCGTCGGCGCACACCATGGAGAAGGCGCCGGTGCGCTCGCCGTACAGGCCCATGTTCTTGGCGAACGACTGGGCCAGGCAGATGTTGTGGCCCTTCTCGACAAAGTAGCGCACCGCGAAGGCGTCCCGGTGGATGTCGCCGCTGGCGAAGCCCTGGTAGGCCATGTCAAAGAAGGCAAAGTGGCCCTTAGCCTTGACGGCCGCCTCGATCTCCTTCCACTGCTCCTGCGTGGGGTCGACGCCGGTCGGGTTGTGCGCGCACGCGTGGAACAGGAAGATGCTGCCGTTGGGCGCCTTCTTGATGTCGGCGACCATGCCCTCAAAGTCGAGGCCGATGGTGTCCTTGTTGTAGTAGGCGTACTTCTCGACCTGCAGGCCCGAGTCCTTGAAGACGGCCGCGTGGTTGGCCCACGACGGCGTCGGGATGTAGATGGTCTTGGCGCCGGGGAAGAAGCGGGCGAGGAAGGCACCGCCGATGCGCAGGGCACCGGTGCCGGAGATGGACTGCGTGATGGCCAGGCGGTCGAGGGCCGAGCTGTCCTTGCCGTAGGCGAGCACGGCGGCCGCCTTGGTGAACTCGGGGACGCCCGTGATGCCGGCGTACTCCTTGTTCATGCGCGACCCGATGACCTTCTCCTCGGCCTTGCGCACCGATGGCAGCACGTAGGGCTTTCCCTTGTCATCGCGGTAGGCGCCAACACCTGGGAGCACCACGTGTTAGTTGCGGGGGGACGGTCGCACCAAGTCGGCGTGAGCAGGGGTCGCGCAGCGTGAACGAACCGAGGTTGATCTTCTTCTCAAACGAATCGGCCTTGAAGGCTTCCGTGATACCTGCACAATCACATCCTGTCAGTTTGCTGCGTCACGCATCGTAGGTGGCTGCCGGTGAGTCGACAATCCATCTCTTCCACTTTTAAGCAACGTACCGAGAATGGCCTGGCAACCAACACAAAAAAAGGACGGCGATCAGCAAGGTGAAGCGAGAAGCAGCTACGAGAGCTTGGAGGGAAAGCACCTACATCCTGCGGACGGTCGTCTGTTAGTGATTTGTTACGCAAAGCCAACCAGTCCGTTCGTCACACCGAAAGCAGATCAACATACGGGAGGACCCTGCGGGACATTGGCCCATGTGGAGGCAGCACGAACGGCTGCGAAGCTCCGGGCCGTCGCTGCCCGCCGCGACGCGATTCTGAGCGAAGAAAGCATGGTGGTCGGCGGAGAAAGACAAAATTTTCTGTGGAGGGTGCTGGATACTGCGTGAGGAGGACAAGAACCCAGGGCCCAACTCCCAGATCTACGTGGTCATTCACAGAGAGAGAGGAGCTCCTGGTTCCCTCGGCGCAACAGTCACTGTGGAGTTGACGTTTTGCGGTGGTCTGACTGTCATGGAAGCGGGCGGAGTGGGGCAGAAAACTTTTGATGCATGTGGTTGGCCAATTGGCAAAATGCATTGGTAAGGGCGGGAGCGGAGCCGCTTTCCGCATGTTCCCGACATCGGCCCCGCATCCCGATTTCCCGAGGTCAGAACTTGGGCATATATCATGCAACCCTAACCCGCTCCCACTCGTTTCAAGCTCTCCAGGACACAAGAGTCAAGACTGCCCTCAGGATTCCATGTGCATGATATGTACATGCAATGTCGTGAAAGTGTCTCGAGCCTGTGTCACTTCCATTTGCCATTGCTAGTGGCCAGGCTTCAACGGTCCAGGTGGCACATTGATACGCTTTACATGTGGCTAGAAGCAGGTACGGTTGATCACCGGATCTGGGGCAGGCGAAACTGCGTACGTAATCAACAGTGCCTCGGATATTGAGTAGTCAAAAGACCTATAGGAGTCGGGACGGGAGAAGATACAAGAGAAGGTGAAACGGGACTTTGTTTCCTTGAACCTCGTAGAGTCAAGTCTGGGGTCGAAGGACGGATTCTCGACGGCTTGTCACTTAGATTTCATGCATTCCTAATTAGGCCGTTTCGTTTTGCAGACGAGTTCGATACGGGTGAAGGTTTGGTGAAAGAGCCACAGGTTGAACGTGTAAGACATGGTATGTCATAGCGGTACTCGACGACGGATATCGGAGCGTTTCTGTGAAAGACATGCCAACTGTCTCACGCCTATCTGTGGCGCCGTGTACATACATGACACTTACCCACGTACCACGTAGCGCAAGAGGGTTAGATTATTCTTTTCCCACGAGATAGTCGAGACAGTGGCCACTATGTATGGCAGCTCCGAAGGTCGCCCCTGGGATGCCCCTGAGTGCCGTCGGAGATGGTGTCACGTTGGAATCCAGCAAAGGGCTCGATGAACCTCGATCACGGCGCAAAGACAGCAGAGAATCGACGAACCTTGATGGTCACCGGAAGTCGTACCTGTGCGGCAGCCCACGTACGTGGTAATACAGATCTGGCCTATATATGAAATCTACTAGGCCGCTGATCAGTTCAATTCCTCCCCCTTCACATCATCAAATCCACCAACCTCCACGGCACGCTTCCCCACTACACCACTGGTATCTACCAAAGTATCTACAGTTCCCCACTGTGATCTCGGCACACGCCTTCGCCTTTCTCTCTCCTCGGAGTTCTCCGAGAAAGCATAACTGCCGACTCCACATCCCCAGATCCCGGTTTTCCCGTATTGGCGTTAAGAGTGCTGCACGCCAGTTATCGCCAATGGCTCTCCTCATTTTCGCCGTTCTTTTGTTCGCCGTTAGCGCCATAGCGCGGGCTATCACCGAAGCTCCATCACCGGCGATTATTACGCCAGCCCCGGTGGCGTCATGCCCGTTGACAAGTGCCGTTCCAAGCTGTGGTGTAAGTCTGGATGTATACTCGTCTTCAAAATTAGTATTCTAACAAGCGATTACGGATAATCAGCGCGAATGCCTCATTGACGCTGCCAACGCCGCTGGTTGTTCCAACCTCTTCGATCTGAAGTGCCAGTGCCAGAATGCGGGCGCCATACGCAGCATAGCCTCGCCATGCGTCCAAAGCGCCTGTGGGGATGACCTGGGCGTGTCGTTGAACTCGGTCGCGCAGGCTATCTGCACCCAGTGTGTCTAGGCAATACGGAGCAGTGACGGTTTCTTTCTATCTGCTGTTTGTTTGTTGATGGCGATGAATTTAGTTTATCCATACTTTACATCTCTGCTTTACACAGCACGGGCGCACTGGAAGCAGTGGGCGGAACATCGTTTCCGGGATATCCATGAGCATTGTCTTGCCAACTGCGCGGTGAAAGTTCTTTGCTGGTTTTGTCAGCAAGTGAAAGTTGTGGTTGGAGCAGTGGAGATCGGGTTAGCGAGGCCCCGGGCATGCCATAACTCCGAGATAGCCAGCGCCAAGAGTCTTGTTTTTCCAGACAGCGCTATCTCGACGGTAGGATTTAAGCTTACCAATGACGTACACTATACAATACAATAAGCTCGCCCCGGTCTTTTCTTGGTACGTATTGTCGAACATGAAGGAATTCGGCCCATTGCAGCCGTACTGTGTAGAGGCCGCGATCCGTGCTGATCCGTTCTGCGTGAAAGCCCAGAAGCGAGCTGCCGAACAATGAGCTCCACCTTCGGCACTGACAAGTACAGGCTCCACATACTTTCGACTCCAAGTCTCCAGCACCATCGCCGTGGATCCCAGGTATATCTTTTCGCCTTAGGTCCCACAGAACCATACCGATTGCCCTTCGATTCCGCGATGAAAAATGACATGGAGAACGGGGTTAAGGAAGGAGTTAAGACTTCCAAAACTTTCCGTGTTCGAAGGGCGCCTTTCTTTGCGAGGTTCCAGGGGCCAGCATTCGGAGTTCGGAATCTCGTCACCAAAAGTCATGTTGAAACGGTCGTGGAGCCGGCGGGCCGACCGCATTATAAAGCTCTGGTTGCTCTCTGGCTTTGCTTGTTGAGATCACTGAACTTTCTTCGACAACTTCCACGTCCACATTTACCTTCCACACCTACACTAGACCCACAGCTGATCCGATCCAACACAAAATGTCTTCGACCGGCCACAAGTTTGAAGGGTGGCTCGGCCACGACTCGTCTGCGGCCGAGGGAAACATGAAATGGGGAGAATTCGAGCCTAAGCCATGGGAGGAAACAGACGTCGACATCAAAGTCACTCACTGCGGCATCTGCGGCAGCGATCTTCACACTCTCCGCAGCGGCTGGGTACGTAGTAGCACTCCAAGATCATGTTTCTGCTTCGAGACAACGAACGAACAGTGTCTAACCGACGGACTACAGGGGCCAACCAACTACCCCTGCTGCGTCGGCCACGAGATCGTCGGCACCGTCGTCCGCGTCGGCTCCAAGGCTGAGGGCGGCCTGAAGGTGGGCGACCGCGTGGGCGTCGGCGCGCAGAGCGACTCTTGCCAGGGCCGCAAGGGAGACTGCGAGGCGTGCGCTTCTGGGCAGGAGAACTACTGCCAAAAACACTACGTCGGCACCTACAACGGCGTCTACCTCAACGGCGGCAAGTCGTACGGCGGCTACGCCCTCTACAACCGGGCGCCATCGCGCTTCGTCGTCAAGATCCCGGACAGCATCCCCTCGGCCGAGGCCGCCCCCATGCTGTGCGCCGGCGTCACGACCTACACGCCCCTGAAGCACCACGGTGTCGGCCCCGGGAAGACGGTCGGCATCGTCGGCCTGGGCGGGCTGGGCCACTTCGGCGTCATGTGGGCCAAGGCGCTGAAGGCGGACCGGGTCGTGGTGATCTCGCGGTCGGCCGCTAAGAAGGAGGACGCGCTGAAGATGGGCGCCGACGACGTCATCGCCACCGAGGATGACCCCGACTGGACCAAGAAGCACGCCTCTACCCTCGACGTCATCCTCTGCACCGTCTCGTCCAGCAATATGCCCCTGATGGACTATATGTCTCTGCTGCGGTTCGATGGCACCTTTGTGCAGGTCGGAGCGCCCGAGGACGGCCTCCCGTCCATCCAGCAGTTCCCGCTCATCTTCAAACGGCTCAAGATCACGGGCTCTCTGATCGGTTCGCCGAGCGATCTTCGGGAGATGCTGCAGCTGGCTGCCCAGCAGAAGGTCAAGCCCTGGATTCAGGAGTATCCCATGAAGGACGCCAACAAGGCACTTGTCGACTTTAACGCCGGCAAGCCGAGGTACAGATACGTGCTCTGCAACGAGCAGTGAAGGTGCTTCGGGACGGGGACTGTATGTACTGTGGGGTTACCTGGTTATATGGGTAGTCTTGTGTATACACTATAGTCATGTAATTGAGTATCACTCTGAATATGGAAAAGTTCCAGTGGCAGTCCACATCAGCTGCGCATAGATTTCTTGAACTACCTATCCGCATGTTATCAAGGCCTTGACTCCCGTCCCAACCGCTCGGATCCAAAATCGTCAGGCACAATTAAGTTCAGTAAATCCTGCATGTGAACGGCAAGACAAGATGTCTCCACTTCCAATAGTGGTACGCGTCAACCGTCTGGACCACAAACATATTCCCATGATCGGCTAGAAGCCACGAATGGGCAATGTCATCAGGCTCGCTGTCCCCCTTCAGCTTCGCTTCGACGTCTCCGTCAGCAAAGCCCGGGATCCGGGGTTAGCAGAGCGCAAGGAACCTTCCGATGGTACACGAGTACAGGTAGCTCCGTGGTTTGTCGTCCTCTTGGCTGCCCGACTCCTCGAGTTCGACGTCCGATGCATCGCATACGAGTCGTCTAGCCCTGTTCTGCCGGTACCGCCCGGAGACTTCCGCCGTCCAAGAACTGCGCCGTCTCACTTCTTTTAAACGGAACACAAGATGCTCGTCGACCCCAATGTCAATCCATCCTTTCAGCTCATCAACGGCCTCTCTTCCCGAGTGTTGAATCATAGGATCGCCTCTCAAAACCCCAATCAACAGGGTTATAAGATTAGCCACAGCCACCAACCATACGGGAAGCCCTACTGTGTTTTCTGCCCTATCGCATACCGTGACGTGGTCATATAGCGAGTCCCGGCGGCGGGCGAGCAACTCCCGCACGAGCTGCATATCGCCACCCGTGGCGGCCGATAGTACCAGGCTTAAGTCTCCGTCGCTACGCACATTCACTAGAAGCAGGTGGGGATATCTGGTGACAAGTTGTAGCACGTATCCCCTCTGCAAGTACCTCGCGGCGAAATGAGGCCACGACCCGGGGATGGGACCCACCAGCCTGTCGTCCCTGACGTTCCCGTGGCGGGCCAAGAAGAAGGGAATAGCCGTGTCGTCTGGCGGAAGTCCTGGTGACGGGCATATATACCACTCGGGTGGCCGCGCCAATGGTTGGCGCATGCCCGCGGCGTGAAACCCGGCCGCTACAGGAAAGGATGGCTCTTCCTTGAGCGAACAAAATGTGCTCATAAGGAACAGGTGTGGTGCGTCGGGAGGCGACCATTCGAAGTGATCTCAGCTCACGCCGCACAAGAACTCGGCTAAGCGTAGCCGGGCGAAGGTATCCTGGAGATTCAGGTGCGCGAAGTGCCGGGTCCGTAGTGTTTCGAACCTGAGGGTTTCGGCTAGGTAATCCCTGGCTGTGCGGTGGAAGAACTCTACGCGGCGACTGAAAAAGGGACTGAAAGAGTGCGCCCCCTCATCCGCCCCCTCATCCGCGTATACCTCTAGTAGTCCGTTGGTGAGGCTGCGTACCTGGCGTTGGACGTAGTCGTGTGCATCCCTTACGGCCGCGTCCGTGATAGGCGCAAAACGAGACGTAAATGGGAATATGGTAGGATCTGCGTCCACCTCCTCGAGCCACACGAACAAAATGGCATTCAATGACTGCGGAAACGGATTGGTCACCGCCAGCAACAGCATCAGATCAGAGCGCCGGCGGTCAGCAGGCAGCACCGTTCCAAGCAGACGCTGGTATAAGTCGTCAAGACCATCTGGTACGCCGTCAAGCCGCTTCAAGAGCACCTCCGGTTTGTCGCGCCGCCCAAGTGAGTCGAGCAACAGCCGCACGGTGAGATATGTCCATAGAAACACACCCTCCGCCTTTTCCACGATCCTGCGGACCAGGTCGTGGTGATCTGCTTCCGAAAGCCCCGCGCAATTCGGCTCTTTGTCCAACATCTGAATGCTGAAACTGAGGATGTCACAACGAGTCAACTCATGGAGGTGAATGCTAGTGTTGGGTGGGCCGCCAAGCGTGACGAGGTACTCGGTATGCGGCCGAGCGCTGATACACATCTTGATGTCGGATCCCTGAGTCCACGACTGCAAGAGACGGGCCAGTTCCCAATGTGCTGCGCTGTCGCCGTTATACTCGTCGTGTCCATCGATGAACAGGCAGAACCGGTGAGTGCGATTGGAATTCTTGGAGACAAACCGTTGGAGGGCGCACTTGATGGCTCTCGGGGGCATATGCTGGCTGGGCAAGGGCTGGGTGACCCTCTCGTTTGCCATGGCGTCCCAGTCGTCCGGAAAGACCTCCGGAATCATGTCCGGACACTGACGCAAAACCTCGAACAGGATCGAGCGATATAAACCTTCAAGGGAGTTTTGTAGCTCATCTTGTGCAGAGTGCCAAAAGTAAAAGTGTGCCATGACGAGCTTCTTGGAGCCCGCCCACTCCTCGAGGGCTGCCTTGGTTCGTACGTCGTTATACAGAAATTTCATCGAGGTCGACTTGCCCGACCCAGCCTTCCCGGACACGTGGAAAATGTGGTAACCCGAGCGAAGCCAGGACATGAAGACGGATTGTGGTCGTCGTCGTCTACGACTTGTCTCGACGCTAAATGCCAGTTCCCCGGGGTAGACAGGCTTAGAGACGCTACTCTCCCTGTCGGAGGTCCTATGTTCGTCCGAGTCGGAGGACTCCAGCATCCACTCATACGTACCCATTTGGGCGTCGTAAATCATATCTTCTCGAGAGTTCCTGGACTGGAAATCGAGCTGCCGTAGGATCTGGTGTTGGGCTGTGGCACTCCTGGCCGAGGAGACAAGTTCCATCAGGAGCTTCTGGACGCCACGGAGATCATCCGTCTCGGGTTGTGGACTTGGAACCCTTTCTCCCTCCTCTGCGATTTCTTCAGAATCTGAATCAGACTCGTCCTCTCGATTGCGGATGGCCTTTACTGCGTCCAGGATGTCGCTGCGCAGAGTGTCGAGTTGCGATGCAGTGACGGTATGAAGCTTGCTAGCTTCCTTCCGAATCTGCTCAAGCTGAACCTTGATGGACGATTGCTGGTCACTATAACAAGAAAAAATGATTTAGTACTGAGACGCCACCAACCCCGTAGACCAGACCCGTGGACCGCACTAAGGATACCGACTTGCCTACCTCAATATCAAGCTTAGGCGCAGCATAATCTCACTCCTGTATTCCGAGAGCCTGTCCGCCATGGACTCAACCTCGCCCGCCTTCCGCATGCTCATCCACTTGACTTGCAAGCTTCTCCACACCGAGTTCTTTTTCTCACCGCGCTTGAGCTTCTTGAGAAAATTCATCAGGTCTTAGACAGCTCTGAGCAGTTCGCGGCAAGCTTCCGCAACTCCCGTTCATGTTTGGATTTGCCCGTTAGCGCGCCGTCCAAGTCTTCCGAAACGCTGGGAAGGTGGGCAATGACATCGTTGAGGCATGCGGTTTCGACTGTTTGCCCGCTCAATGATTGGTAAACCTCGCACGTCCCTTTGACAAGTTTACATGAGAAGTCGACGAAGGTAATGATCGTCCCGACAAAGCTAACCGCGCTGAATGGGTCCATCGCGCGCCGCCACGTACGTCGAGTAGAAGAGACGCAAAGAGGTCCGTTGGCGGGATCAGTTGACTTCAACACGGATGAGTTTCGCAGTGCGGGGTTAATGCCCGGACAATTAGGCTCGAAGGAAACCATTTGCTCGAGGTTGGTAGCTTACCTCAACGTTGCACAGCAGTAGACGTGGCGACACGGGGAAGCCATGATTGGCTGAGTCCGACTTGAGGGTGTCATAACAGCGAAAGAGAAGCGCGTTATTACACCGATACCAAGTCTCCTGGCCAGCTGGCATAACGTTTCCAGAGAAGAGACGGTAGTGTCATGCATGTATCGTATCGAAGATCCAGTGCTGTGGGAGACAATTTCGACGAGATTATCTCAAACAGCATGGCATAACAAGAGCGTAATGTAAGTCCTAATTCCGTTATTACCTCGACCCTAAATGTTATGACTTCGACAACTCTCTCTCACGGTATGGCCATCTTCTAAACCAGAATGGGCGAAGTTGCTTCTCGACACATATCCACTGACTACCTGTGCCGATAGTCTGGTTACATATCGAATACCTACCTGGAATGCCCGTCGACAACGGGGTTGATACTACTTACCTTAAGTTACCTTATGCTGTGTCACCTCGCCAATAGTTCACCCGTTCCGGCCTGCAGCTGACCCGGTATCCCGCCCCAGTGGCTGCGATGGCTTGGTTTTCAGGTCCTCAATCACACATTGGATGCACATGGAACGCCGGCACATGCATCACGGGTCCCTTATTATCCAGTCTATTGCTTCTGCGGCAAGAGTAAGGGATTTAACCATTGTCCCTCTTCCCTGGATCACCAAGCTGGCAAGATGGCGAGCCAAGACCAGGAGAGTCTCGCGGCGGCGCTCGCGGCACTAACCGAGATACTCAAGATACAACAACAATGCCTGGGCCAACGAGCTTCTCCGAGAAGTAGAGGAACGAGTCGACAAGATCAGGCCTGTAACTTCAGGTACAGAACATAACGACATCTCCAGGAATGATGGAGCCGGGCTCCAGGAAAGCGTAAACAGGCCGACAACCCCGAGATGCTGTTAGGCCTGACCCTGAGCGGATCGAAGTTACATCGTGGAGTGACGGCCAGATCCTAGGCGCCGTTAGAGAGCAATTATCAATACGGCAATGATCTGTCACTGGTTCGTGTTCCACTTCGCATGGTTCAGCAACTGCAGCCTGCACACTACGACTAACCTTGCATACTACTGGTGCCGAGAAGAGAGGTCGAAACTTCTTTTGCGGATCGCGAAGATCGGTACCAAGCCCGAAAACTATATGGCCGTGGTTATCGACGGGAGGCCTGGGATATATATGGTAGTTCTGTTACTGCTACACTTGGTCCAAGGATGGCATCGCAGATGCAGAGATCAGTGGTAGCTAGCTTGAAGATTGACAGGCTACCTACCTAAGTAGGTAGGTACCTATCCACACGAAGCGTGCCTTTTGTCATCATTTCTTTCCGTGATGATTTCGGAACAACAAGCGATGCACGTTACTGTGAATTTTGAAACAATGGAAAATCAATCGGTGTTAAGTGTTTTCCCCTGCTAACCCGAGCTGCCCCCCCAAACGCATGGCAACCTGGAGAGGTAGTATGCAGCTCAAGGGGCTCTCAGCAAGCACCTGGCTTCATTTCACATGTCATCATGTTACAATTTGCATGTAGGATGCGACGTTCCTCTTTCGTCCTGGTGAGCAATTGCAAACCCCAACAGGCCCAGGGGAAAGTCGCTTGGCACATGCTAAGCTTTTCGGCATGAAGCTCGGCTAAAGCTTAGCATGCTTAGCCCACCCACGCCAAGACCGTATTGGCAGGTGGCGGGCCCCTGAGGCTTGCACTGCGTCTCGCTATCAGGGGCATTGGCCGGCCGCAGTTCCTGCAACAGAAGAGCAAATCACCTTCCCCTTCTTTGTCCCGGAGACACACACAAGCTTCCATTCCCAGCTAGCCACCGCCGCGCGACGTAGGAGCAGGCAGAGATCCTGAGGAAGCCGGACAACCAGTGGAGCCTCGGGCCGAGTTGAAACCCGGGGCTTGCGGGAGGGGCGCTTGGGGAGCAAATGAGCAGTCGAGGACAGGGGCTTAGCACAACTGGCGTCATATTACGGGATTCCTGCCGCACGATCGAAAGGTCCAATGCCGACCGCGGGTTGACGGATTAACCTGGCTCCCAGAGTGGACCTCTGGAGAAGGGGGCCAGAAAGGCAGGCGAGGGGCGAGTCATGTGCGGCAGTTCAGCAGCGGCAGTGGCGCGGAAAAGTGTCTGAAAAGATTGTGTCCGAAGTGGGGGCCTAGCCGTCAGGGGCAGGAGGGGCAGTTCTCACCCAAACATCGGATGGCGATGGCGAAAGTCCTTGAAACAGGAACGGGGTCCCTGTCTGTCGCCATCGATCTGAGACGCCCTGGCTGACAGAAGAACACGTACCTACCTGCCTAGTTAGCGGGTGCTATCCAGGAGCCCCTGGCGGTGTTTGGGTGTGCCATTCAAGCTGTGGGGATTCTGATGAAGAGCAGCACAGACTGGACAAGGGGGAGTGTAGATATAAGGACATACATGAGGGCGAATGAATGACTGTTGATCCCCTTACTCACTCGCAAGGCGAGAACTCCGAACCACCCACATGCCACGACAGTCTTTATCAGTTTAAGTGCCTGCCTGGTGCGGAAGTTGATTCTTGGGACTCTCCTCTCCTTCCTCATTCAGTCTACCTAATCCAGCCCATCCGCCCGGGCCATCCCGCTCGCTTTTGTTGATCAAGAAAATACAAATACTCCAGTCTCTGCTTCTTCTGCTGCATCCGGTCAGCCAACCCAGTTCAGCTTTTCATTCCCATTCTCCTCCCTACTTCGGAGCCAGGTCCTCCCCCACATACTCCGTCCCGGCGACATCAGAGAGCTCAGCATGGCCGTCCTCTCGAACTTGATTGTGGCGCTGGCCGCCGGCACTGCCCTTGGCACTGCGATCCCGCCACGCATCGGCACCGTCACCAACGCCCGGGCAGCGAGCGGCTATTCCATCCAGCAAGTCCATAATCCGAGCTACACCCGCCACGGGCCGACCGAGCTCTTCAAGGCGTATCGCAAGCATGGCGGCACCATCTCGGACGGCCTCCATGCTGCCGTGCACAACGCCACGAGGGTAACGGCGGCCGCTGCCGCCTCCGGCACGGGAAGTGCAGCCACTACCCCCCAGGATGGTGATGTGTGTATTTCCTTCCGACGCCAACTGTGGCACCCTTGGCCTGATTCTGACTTTTGAGACACGCATAGGCCGAGTACTTGACTCCGGTGAGCATCGGCACGCCCGCGCAGGTCCTCAACCTGGACTTCGACACGGGATCCAGCGACCTGTGGGTCTTCAGCACGGAGACGGCCAGCCGTGAGGTGGCAGGCCAGAAGCTGTACAACCCGTCCAGCAGCAGCTCGGCCAAGAGGATGTCGGGCGCGACGTGGAAGATCTCGTACGGCGACGGCAGCTCGTCCAGCGGCGACGTGTTCACCGACGTGGTTAGCATCGGCGGCCTGACGGTCAAGAGCCAGGCGGTCGAATCGGCCAAGCAGGTGTCGAGCGAGTTCACCCAGGACACGGCCAGCTCCGGCCTGCTGGGTCTCGCCTTCAGCACGCTCAACACGGTCCAGCCGACGCAGCAAAAGACCTTCTTCGACAACGCGGCCAGCTCGCTCAGCCAGAAGGTCTTCACGGCCGACCTAAAACACAACGCGCCGGGGACGTACAACTTCGGCTTCATCGACAGCTCACTGCACACGGGCAGTATCGCCTACACGCCCGTCGACAGCAGCCAGGGCTTCTGGGGCTTCACCGCGTCGGGCTACGCCGTCGGCTCCGGCGCCGTCAACAGGCAGAGCATCTCGGGCATCGCCGACACGGGCACCACGCTGCTGCTGCTCCCGGACAGCGTCGTGCGCGCCTACTACAGCCAGGTGCGCGGCGCCCAGAACGCCCAGGAGGTTGGCGGCTACGTGTTCCCGTGCTCGGCCGCGACGCCCGACTTCAAGTTTGCTGTCGCGGGGACTACCATTACGGTTCCCGGCAAGTTCATCAACTTCGAGCCTGTTGATGAGGCCGGCGAGACGTGCTTTGGCGGGCTGCAGAGCTCCGGGGATATCGGGATTAATATCTTTGGTGATGTCGCGCTCAAGTCGGCTTTTGTGGTGTTTGACGGCGAGAATAACCGGCTCGGGTGGGCGACCAAGCCTCTGTGAGAGCGGTTCTGCGCGCGTGGTAGCTTTTAGTGTGTAGCCTTTGTCAACTTGAATATCACTTGAACTTCGAGTCTTATACTTGTCGCTTGAGGTTCCTAGTAGTACTATCATCTAGCTACCCTGCCAGGACATCCCTTTGTGACCTTTATTAGCTTCCAAGTCCTTCCACAGATAATTCATAAGTCAGCTCTGTAGCCTACCTAGGCACAGCACGATTCTGTTCTTCTACACCCCACATTTACCCTCCTATGATTATTCCTATCTCCGCTTCCAACCTGCACGCTGCATATTGCGTCACCAGTGAATCTTTAGCGTGCATTCCAAGACTCAACAGCAGCCCCAGGAATGAGTTCGAGGCGCACAACCGAACCATTGAACCAATTGGGGGGCTCCAGCGATGAGCATACTATCCTTAGAGAATAGAGAGCGCTTACATCGGGAGGCACGATTCGCGGGGTCGGAAATATAACCGCCAAGCAACCATCCTCCCGAGCCTTCCAAAGTCCGAGAGCATCACCGATCCGTCGCTGACATACCTCTACTCGTTCTCAGGATGTAGTCGGCCTATTTAACCTCTGACTTGACCACGTATCCGTCGTTTCTTCGAGGAACAAACCAAACATTTCCCTCGTCCCGTTTTCCAGTCACCCCAACAAGCCCACTCAAACCAGATCTTTCCCCTGTTCTAATTCTAAACACTTTGCGTCCCTCAAAGAACTCGCCGACCATGCCCACCTCGTCTCCTCGCACAAGCAACGGCCGTGAAGTGGCGTCCTTTGTAACCCGCCGTCACGACACATATCCCCTGATCTTGCCGGCCAATGCGGACCTCTCGGGCAAATCCATGCTCGTCACCGGCGCGTCCAAGGGGCTGGGCAAGGCAGCCGCCATCCGCTTCGCCATGGCCGGCTGCTCCAAGATCGCCCTGGCGGCACGCTCCCCCCTGAACGAGACCGAGACCGAAGTCAAAGCCGCCGCGGTAGCTGCGGGCCACCCGGAGCCCCACGTCCTCAAGCTGACCGTCAACGTCAGCGTGGAGTCGTCCGTCCAGAAAGCGGCGCAAGTGGTGAGCGAGGCCTTCGGCGGCAGCCTGGACGTCCTAATCGCCAACGCCGGCTACTCGGCCGACTGGGACCGCCCGCTCGCCGAGTCGGACGCGTCCGACTGGTGGCAGACGTGGGAGACCAACGTGAAGGGCACCTACCTCTGCGCGCGTTACTTCCTGCCGCAGCTGCTCGCCTCGTCGCTCAAGACGGTCCTGTCCCTCTCCAGCACGGGCGCCCATCAGATCTTCCCGGGCGCGTCGGCCTACCAGACGTCCAAGTTTGCCGTCTGCCGCTTGACCGAGTTCCTCGACCAGGAGTACCACGCCCAGGGCCTGGTGGCCGTTGCCATCCACCCGGGCGGCGTCCAGACCGAGATGGCGCAGAAGATCCCGGAGCAGCTGCGCGAGATCGTCATTGATACGACCCCGGACCTGGCGGCGGATGCCATGGTGTGGCTTGCCAAGGAACGGAGGGAATGGCTGGCGGGGCGGTACTTTGAGTGCAATTGGGATGTGAAGGATTTGGAGGACCGGAAGAATGAGATTGTGGACAAGGATCTGCTGAAGTTTAGGCTCAGGATCTGATTAGAGTTAGGTACCAATGGGAGCCACTCCTACTACCAGGTAGTAGTACTTTTCCTCTTACAATAGAGTGCTACTCGCAGCCGGCTCAGTCGCAAAGCCCTTGATCTCGGAGGAGTGCTGCATCGGGCCATAACCACGATCGAGCTCTGGGGAACACTGAAGGAAAGACTACGGCGGATCATGGTTATTTATTAGTAATTCCTAACGTTAATACGGTGCATTTCTAAGAGCACCGGCGGGGGTCTGGGACTTATTTACTTGAACATAAATACTCTGCTCCCCCTGAGGCTGGCTCTGTTGCTGAGTAGAAATTATAAAGGAAGAAGACGACGAGGACAGCGAAAGGGGAAAAAAAAAAAGAAGAAAACATAAAAGAGAGAAAGTAAAAAGGAAAAGAGCATCTCGGACCCGAATGTTCTTGCTGCTATATTATATGTTTCATCACTCCTACACTTCGTCCCGTCGGTCTTATATAATTCCTTGCAACTAAGAAAAGAGGTCGTGGCGGAGAAAAGCCGGAGCGCAACATACGAAGGCAAACGGCTCGATGAGACCACGGGTTTGTTGGACTTCGGAGGCCGCTGGTACGACCCCTCGATCGGCCGCTTCGCCACACCCGAGCCATGGCAGGCACGTCCCGTCTCGCCGCCAAGGTTCGGACTCGATCTGGCACCCTAAACCATCTCCGTCGTCGGCAAGCTCCTCAGCGTCGGCGGAAAAGCCCTGGTCGGAGGCACCGCGTCGGTTCTCACCAACGCCACGGAGCGCGGCGTGTCCAACGCCTTCTACGGCACCAAGTACGGCCTCTTTGCCGACGCCTGGGTCCAGCTTTGCAGCGGGCGCCGCCGTTGCCGCGCTCGTGGGCGTGATTGGGCTCAAAGGACCCAGCTCGCCTAACAAGTTGCCGGGCATCAACAAGTTTGAGGGATCGTTCAAGCTGCGGGCGTTCACGGGCGTGCGGTCGGTGCTGGCGCCCAAGCCGACGAATCCGTGGGCGGTTCCAGGGATCACGACGCAGATTCTGAAAGCGGCGGCGGCCACGGCTGGGGGGTTGGCTTCATATGGGTATAAGAAGACTGGGCTGGACTGTCTGGACAAGGAGGTTAATGCCGCGTTGAAGACTTTTTGGGAAGAATTTTGGGGTGTGAGAGGAGCGAGGATGTGTTGGAGTGGGATAACATGGGCTCACTGAATTGAGCTCTCATTCTGCACATTCGGAGACCAGCCATCCATACTGGGTCGGTATGAAGAGGCACTAGAACTTGGTGTGTGAGATTAGCGATTCGGAATTGGAGGTTATCTACACGTGAATCCCATCTATCATTATACCCCCTTCAACATTTCTCAATCTCGATCTTCAAGGTCTCTAACCCATCCTCATTCGTTCTATCACTAGCAAGAGAGTAGGAAAACGCAAAGTCCTCCATCAATCATCCCTCATCACATCGCTTGATGCGAGTAACAGGTTAGCGGGGCCATTTGATAAGCCAATCATCAATTCTTTGCACGCCTTGCCGGTCTCCTTCCACCGTCTCCAGCTTATCCTCGTCAACCCAACCCTGGGTATAACTACTGCCAAAATCAATGAGCCAGGCATCGCCCTCCATATCAATCAAGACGTTCTCAGGCTTAGCGTCTCCCCAAATTACACCTGCGTCATACAAGCATTGAATCAAGTGATTTATTTGTCCGGACCAGCGAAGCCGATCCTCATTTATACAGCCTGACCAAGGCGCCAAACCGTTCAGAGTGCCGCGATTCTCGATGTATGTGAGAAGCAGTCCGACTAAACGGGTCCCAGAATAGTTTTTCTCGCCATTATCAAGAGGATAGTGTTGGAGGACATCATCGCCGTCGTCGATAATCAGACCGTGAAGGCGACAGATGCGTACGTCGGCGAGAAGGGGCAGGCTTGCCTCGGTATCCGCCAAGATCTTCCTATATGACTGCAGCTCGTGGTACCCATGCACTCGACCTGATATCCAAGGCTTGAAGAGGTAGATAATGCCATCGACAAGAATCCTAGATGGGACCAGCTCCGGTGTCTGGGCCAGGACTTGAATTTGACGAGACGAGTACTTTTTGAGTTTCGAGTCAAGTAGCGGAGACAAGTGCGGTTGAAGGAAGTCGTTATAGTTTATATATTCACCCGGACGTCCGATCTCCCGTTGCGAAAGGGCCCCCTTGGAAAATGGCTGAACACACCCGCTTTCAGCTACACTTGCCTCGAGAACGAACTACGGGGGTAGATATAGTTGTGCAGATACCCCGTTGACTCGGTTGGTGGATTTGGGGCCATCTGGGTCATAAGTTCTTCAAACGGTTTTCTGAGTCGTTCCACCGTTTCAGGGTATCCTCTATCTGGATCATCCTTATGTAGGATTCGGTATGACTCGCGATGCTGTTCCAAGGTAGAAGGTGAGGCGGCGAGGATGTGTGCATTGTAGCAGATGCGGAAGGCGGCGCCTCCATGGCGAATGCCAAGTGTGATGTCGCTCTCCAAATTGAGACTCAATTCCCAGACAACAGATGCAACATAGAAGTCTTCCATCGCGATGATACGTAGTAAGTCTCACGTTTTAGGTAGGAGGGCGACACTGTTTTTTTGGTTGAGGAAATGTATTGTTTATCAGGGACTCGGAAACTGAAGACAGGCCTGTTTGCTCGCGATCGCCTTCATCACCGCCTCTACCCCGCCTGGTTATCAATCAAGGTTACCTGCATGATAATAATGATAGTTCTTTGTTAGTCCCGTTGGTGTTACTTGGCCAGCACGGGCAGATGCAACTAACCACTTCAATGTTTGATCGAGCATAGGTAGCAACCGTTGTGGGTACAGGCAGCACAGGTATCGAGACCAGTGGAAACTTCGGACTTGCACTCATAGCATATCCAACCACGCTTTTTGAATGCCCTTCGTGCGGCACATGTGGTGCCACAATGACCAGTCTCATATCTGGTGGTTGTCGTACGGTTGCACTCGGTGCAGCGCTGCAGTTGACCGTTCATATTATAAACAGCAGCTGCGACGGCATCTTTACAGTCACTCACGTTGGCAGGGATCCAGAATGAGACTTTAGAGGGATGATCGCAGGTCCAGGTGGTCTTAATCAATTGGCACATGTTGCATTCAATGTATGCTTAGGAAAGCCGTGTGATAGGGAGGTGGAGACGAAAAGTTAATGGGTATAGGTACGTACCAAGGAAGAACGGGAGACCGGCACACTTTATATAGACAGAGTTGGGCACTCGCAATCCATTACCGCTTAGATGTAAGCTAGCTGATTGACGCCAAGTTCTTTCAAACTCACGCATGAGTGAAGGCAGCAGTCTTCCTATCCTTGAGATCCTCTGGCAAAGAAAATGAAAGCCTCGAAGCTTCACAGCAACTTCACGCCCCACCATGGCCCCCCTAACTACGTAGAATGCTTGCCGTCCAATGAAACGCAAACGCAAGCCAGCTCATGTGTTTTGCAAGGGGCCTCTGTGACAGAGCGCAGAATCGGTACCGTACTAAGGGTTTTCCGTGGCACCGAGTGGCTGATGACTTCGCGCCCAGTCCTTTGACTCCCTGCACGTGGTAGGTTGGTTCACGTTGTTGCAAAGTTCAGCGGCCCGGCCCAGACACGCATCGCCTTACCCCAGCGCAAGAGAACGACGACCAACACAAAGGCAGCCACGCACACGGCCGCCTGGATGCCGAAGCTCAGCTTGGTGCCCTGCGCCTCGGCCCACGTCACCTGGAAGTAGCTGACGACGAAGCCTCCGATGGTGCGCGCAAAGTTCAGCCAGGCCGACACCTCCCCGGATGCCTCCGGGTAGCTGTCGAGGCAGTAGCTGCTGACGGCCACGGTGGTGACCATCATGCCGAACACATACATGCCCCAGCACACGCTCGTCACCATGTAGTGCCACGCATTCTCGAAGCACTGGCCCACGAGCACCAGCCCGGCGATGACGAGGGGCATCGAGAGGAACAGGGCGCGCAGTCGGGCTTCCGGGTCGAAGTGGCCCTTGTGGCGGCGGATGTACTGCTTCGCCAGCGCGTCGTGCAGCCAGTGGCCCGTCGCCTCGCCCAGGATCGTTGCCACCACCGGCGTGAAGTAGAAGAAGCCGACCTGCTTGGGGCCGAACCCGTAAAGCGGCGTGACGAACATGGCGAGCGTCGTGTTGATCCCCACGGCCCAGGCGAAAGTCTAACGAAACAAACAAAAAGAATCTCGTAGTAAGTGTCTGGTTTCCCATCTCCATCACCTTGCGGTCAGGAAGAAGACGGGGGAGTGACTTACAAGGGCATAGAAGAGACAGGATATCGCAATGGTCGGTTTCAACAGCAAGCTGACGGTCCGCCAGCAGGCCTGTCCGAAAGTGTTGCGGAGGTGCCGTGACCTCCACTGCGCCATGCCCGTCATCCGCGCAATGCGGCTGCCACGGTGCGGCTGTCGCTCTGCCGGGATGGTGCGGTCGTAGTACGTTTCATCCAGGAAGCAGACCACCAACGCCAGACCGAGGACATTCATGGCGAAGAACACCCAGAACGCCACCGGCCAGCGCTGCGTCTCGGTGATGAAAGCGGCGAGCAACGGCCCCATGTACGGGCTGACGACGATGAAAGACCTAGGTTCCAATTCCATCCATTGCCGGGCTGGCTGTCAGTCTGATGTCTGATGTCTGGTGTCTTCAAGGACTATCTACGTTTCGACGTGCCCGTGGAGGGAGGGAACACTCACGCCCAGATGTTGATCTTGCGCGCCTGTTCGTGGAAGAAGAAGATGTCCTTGAGGAACATGAGCCCTCCGGACTGGCTGACAGTCGAGAAGAAGCCGTTGAGGATGCGGGCCGCCATGAACGACTCAAACGTTGTTGCGCCCGCGCACCATGCTGCCGTGGCCGTGGACACGAGGAGGAACCAGAAGACAACGGGGAGGCGGCCGAAGAATGCGCTCAGCATCACGACTAATTAAGGTACAATACCAACGCCCCGGCGTCTGTCAGTTCAGTACTGTCAATTTCGGGGGGAAAAAGGGGGGGGGGGGGGGGGGGCGTCATCAAATCGTTGACTCACCGATCACCCCGCCAGCGCCGAGCATAAACACATTCCCGGCCTGCGAGTGGTTCACATAATCCGGCGTCATACCCCATTCCCTGTATATATGTGATAAGTATGTAACAGACCACATCGTTCAGCCTCTACTACCTCACCACCCAGCCCTCGCTCCCTCGGAAAAGACTTACGCCGCCTGCGGAATCAAGGTCACGGCGCCCGTGGCGCTGCCATAGTCGGGCAGGAATGAGACGAACGCGACCGTGAAGAGCACCAGATGCTTCCTGCGCCAGCTCCAGTTCAGCGGGTCGTTGACGTCGTCGTCGCTCGGCTGCGGGATCAGAACGGTGTGCCCGTCCTGGGCCAGCTTGAGAAGACCCGACCGTCCCGACGACGACGACTTAGTATTGGCCGCCCCCGCGTCTTCGGCTTCTTCGATGTCGATGATGTAGCCCTCTGTCTCGCGGAACTCGTGCAATCGCTCGGCTCGTCGGCTGTGTGGGTCTTCGGCGCGGTGGTGTTTCTCTGAAGCTGGTTTCAACCCTGCTTCTGCGGCGATGATATCGGCGTGTTGGAATTGCTCCTTTTCCGCCATTATTGATGTACGGGAAGAGGGGCGTATGACTACTAGGTGGCAAAGAGAGAGAGAGAGAGAGAGCGTCTTTCTCTACGGATCGCCTACTTGGGGTCTTACACATTGGCATATGACATGATGGAGAACGGGAATACAACAGTCGGAACCGGGGTGTTCGAGGGGGCCATAGTAGTAGTAATCTACCACACTTATCAAATTCCTGCGCGCGCGAGATAGAGACCCCTCGGGTATTGTTGCACGGGGTCTTACCTGCGTTGCTTGCCGCAGGAGAACAATACCCGGGTCCCAACGCGGTTGGTTTGCCGGTTCAGCGCCTATTAATATGCTAGTAACCCCCCCCCAATACAGGACGCGTACACGGTAACATCGAGGTGATAAGCGGATGTGACATGCAGTTCCCCACAGCTACCGAAGCTTTGGTTCGGTTCGCGAGTGACCGGCATCGACTTTCATGGTCGGCCAATACCTTAAGCAGACTGTATTGTAATTACATACAACGCAACGGTCTGATCTGCCGGGTCCTTACGTGGTGCAATGTTACGAATACTTTGTAGCGTTGCAAGGGTTGATCCCCCGAAACCGTGTAGTGGAGGTGAGGGGAACGCCGGAACCGTGAGGGGAAACCTGGCAGGTCTACAAAAGGCGTACATTTAGAAACTGGGAAGCATCGCCTGAGGTGACACAACTGCCCAGCGGCGAAGCCGTGGCTGAGCACCTGAGACCAGCCGGGCGCGGTTTGCTTTATCATTCTGATAGGTTTGGCTTATTGGAAGCGCTGGCTTAGTCGCGGTTGCGACCTGGAGCATCACTCCGAGATCCAAGACCTTTGAGACTAACAAGCGGCGACCCTACTCCCCCATGTTAACAAATGAAGCCGCAACACCGAACTTACTTTGGGAGTTTGGTAGGGTAGATACTAGTAATGTAGAATATGGGCAGTACCTCTCGGCAGCTCAGAGTCTGTTGGGGTGAGTCAGAGTGCGGGTTGAATTGACGTGTGTAGTACTGTGTATTGTACTATAATGTATCTCAGCCTCTGCCGATTTTGCGTGTTTGCCGCGATGTGTCTGGTACTAACAAGGCTCATACATAGGTACCTTATGTACGTTGAGGAGCTTGATGAGGCGATGTTTGATTTGAGGGTCCGAGCATCGAGGTCAGAAGAAAGTGTTGACGCCATGACAGCAGATTTGTGTGGTGAGGAAGATGGGACGGCTACGCACAGACTCTCGCAGCCTAGGGCTATAGAATCATAGGTATGTACCTGGTAGACAACTTAGGTATTTAATGATATTGGAAAAAGTCGGATTTTCCGAAAACACTATACCCCGTCAACTTTCTTTCAATACACAGACTGCAATCTAGCCGCGATCAACAATATTTTTGCATCATGTCTTGGAACGCATTGCCTACCGAGCATCATCTGCTGATTCTCAAGGAACTCGCGAGTACGTACACGTACCGCCCAGAAGACAGGTATGCCCGCGCTGGCTATGCGAGGGTCTGTCGGGAGTGGCAGTACTTTTCCGAGCCACTCACTTTCAGGCGGCTTGTCGTCGACCAAGGCCGCATCTCGGACCTCGACAAGTTTACATCTGCCTGCGGCCCATTCGGGCCCAGTGCAAATCCTTGTCAAACAAATCCATCTCCGCGTGAAGCTCGTAGACTACGACTGCAGCGTCTGCCAGCTGGAGCAGGACCGCGATGCTAGGGACCAAAATAACCGCACTTTCACCCAGGCTGTCGCGGACCTACTTACTGTCCTCTCCAAGTGGCCAACGAGCTGGGAGCGTCCCGGGGGCTACGTAGCCCGGCCATTGGGCGTGTCGTTGGAGATCAGCGCGTTCTCGCCGAGCGATTGCAAGCACGGCTTCAGGGACTTCCGGCTCCAGGACGACTATCCGATTTGGTTTGACTGTGACGCGAAGGCAGACCGGGACCGGGGCTACGCGGCAGAGAGAGTACGGGCGGACCAGATGAAGCTGGAGCGATACCACGACCCGGCTCACGGATGGAGGAACGGCCGCCAGCTAGCCTGGGTGCGGAAGCGAATAACGGAAAGCTTAACGCTGTGCCTTGGCGACGACCCCGGGACAGCCTTGCCTGAGCTCCCCAAGATCCCGATCGTCTTCATCTTCACCGTCCGAAGGCAGTCATACCGGGCGATCGATGTCCCATCGCTCAAGACGCTTCTTCTCGCATTTCCGAACCTCTTCAAGTTCACGCATGAGCCATGGTACAACGTCACGCCCTGGCGGCAGCGGCGCTTTGAGTCCGACTACCTGCAGCTACTCCGGGCCTTGCCCCGGCTCAACAACAAGGGTCTTGCGCACATCAACATTTTCCAGGACTCTAGCAAGACCTTGAACCCGTCCCGGCACAGAAGTGACAAAACCCCTTCTCATCCTGGTGTCCAACATCGACGACGTGCTGGACAACGACCTGTCCCCCGAGGTGATCTCCATTTGGCGGTCGGTCGCAGCGAAATACGGCGAGATGCAGCTCTGGATCAGAGAAGACGAACGACCGCGAGCCTCTATCAAAACGTTTGCTGCCACCATGGATTTGGTAGAACTATGGGGCCTGGATGTCGTGCACCTCGTAACCACACACCAACTGGCTGCGGAGGAAAACATTTTCCGTCCCCTGACATAATACATACATTGCCAGGGGAAGAAGGAGACCTGTAGACGTCTGATTGAACCCAGGCATGTGGATGCACACCTCGAAAGGGGGAAGGGCAATCTGATGGTTCTAGGACCAGGTCAGGGACAGACTTGTTATCTATCCATGGATGGTGTTGCTACCTTTCTGTGCCATATTCTTGTGATTTGCTTCATTATTAGTTAGTACCTAATCCTGCTTACGGTAGTAGTTAAATGTTTCCTTGGAGATAGTATTATAGTACTACTATACCGTATGGAATATGCTATTCAAACTCGATCCCTTATCCAGCAAAGCGGGCGTCGCGGACGTAAGGCAAGACAAACCGACGGCCAGTCGCGCCCTGTGGCTGCGGGGTAGACTGTTTCCGCTAAGAGAGTTCCAGGTTCCTACGAGTACAAGTCGTGGCTTTTCGACGCTGTGGCCGACGCAGTCAAAGGTTAGTCCAAGGAAAGAGTCAGGGGCTGGAAAATCTAGCATCCTCTAGGTCTAAGAAGAATCATTCTTCTTGTGGTGCGTGCGTGCGTCTGCGGGTTGATTTTGCTGGTCAGCTGGATGAGGCGCAGTTAGGTCTCCAATATTGAACGGCAGCAGTGGGTGGTGGCAGTGCTCCCTGGATGCGTGGTAGGCCAACGTATAATATGTAATACAACTCGCCCCAACAGGCCAAGATCTGACGTCCAGCTGGGTTTCACCTGATCCATCTCAACTTAGAGGCCTAGCCATGGACGATCAACCTTACAAATCGAAGGCTGCACCGCCTTCAACATCTACCAACATGGCCCCGAGGTTCATGTCCGATCCCCGGTTTTAGAGACAGACCATGGTCCAGCCGACACAAGATTGGCAAGTCACACTACAGAGCGGCATGCAGACCTCGTCATCAGTCCAGCCGCCAATGGTGCCTACATTCGCCATTCAGACAATGATGTATTCAAGGAGCGAGTCTCCTCAACCAGGGCCGCCACCACAACCACAACTCCCGACTGATCCATCATCAGTCATTGGCTATCAGCCACCAACAAGGCTACAAGGCGTACTGGAGACGATGCCCGACATGATGGGTGGCGCGAGGTCTTGGCGGCAGTTCGAGCACAAATTCAATCCAATGGCACCTGAGTTCGTGTTTCCGGTTCGAGCTCGACCTCAGGCATCCACGTCAGAATCTCACCCTCCGATAGCAGGCTCCTCTCAGCCTGCCGAAGTCGTCCAACGTGGTGTCGTGAATGTTCCTCCGACGCTGCTGGCCCTCGAGCTGCGGAATCGGATCAGGTTGACATAGCTTCTCCCCGCGTTTTGCAACCGACACCCCCCTTGCCTATCGCCGTAGACCTGGGCAGTATAACGGCTTCAAGCAGTTCTGATCCCCCTCAGACAAAGGTCGAGACGAACCACGCCGCGCAGAATGGCAATCCCGAGTCTCCGACGGCCATCGTGAGGAGCCTAGCACCGCCCGTTTCAAACCTCTCCATGGGCTCGCCGCTAGCGGAGAAGATGCCGGAGCCCGGGAAACGGCCCAGCACGAAGTTGACAACTGCAGGCAAAGAATCGGAAAGCCCGGTATTCTACGACACAACCAGGCCGACATGCTCACTGTATCTCGTGTGCTACAGGTCTGGGGCCAGGGGCTGTGATCTGCAGCAGCTCCTGTGCGCCGTGCGGACCAGGTTCCCCAGCGACGAGAGTTTGGACATAGTCATATATGCCAACCCGTATCTTGTCCAGACCGACCACCAACTCTTCGTGGAGATGCGGCGACTATATACAACCCAGATGTGTGGCTTCCTCCGCCGGTACTTCTCCCTCAAAACTCTCCGCAGTTTTCGTCTACTTGCTGTATGTACCTCTTCCTTCTACCTCTCCATTATCAATAAAGCAAAGACGCTAACAGCCAATAGTTCACGCCAACCACGCGACCCACAGAAGTGCCGCTAGACGATTTTGTCCTCCAGGAGATGATGTACGCGTACCGAAACCCCGACAGGCTCTCGACTACCGATGACTGGGTCCATTGGGAGTTCAGGTTACGGCGCCAGGACAGGCGGCACGCGCTCGAGTTTGTCGAGGGGTGGAACACGACCCGCATCGCCATTTCGGGGACGATCCCCTGGCTAGCGTCCAGTCTTGTGGGCATCATATGGGCGGTGACCGGAGGAGATACGCAGACTGCCTTTACTGTTGCCTCATTTATCTTGACGTCTTCTTCGAGTGAAGTCCCCAGTTAGTGATGCCCGACGGGATAATCCTTGCTAACGTCGCTGTCTTCTCTAGCTATATTGGCGCTGCTAGCCATCATCAGCACCATCGCGTCATCAGCTGGGCCCAGCAACTACTAAGGTTTGCGGACGCCGAGGTAGGCTAGGGCGCAAACATCTTACGTCTTGCCTTTCGCTGCAGACTTTCGATACCAAAGATTGGGTTGAACATGAATTCATCTGGATGACTTGGCTGATCGCTCCGGGGCATGGGCGATCGTTGAAGTGTCCTCCATAATGAGGGACCTAGGTAGCTGGAGGATATATGTATCTAGCTTATTCATCTCCCAGGACATGATGAAACCTTCCAGCATCTGCTCCATCCCTCTCCGCTTCCCCTGACGGCGCGAGCCACCCTGCAGGCCCCAATGAACAACCCATACCTCGTGTACGTAATGAACAAACGTCCCGGGAGTCTCAGACTCATCAAACAAGAAATACGACCTATGAGTTCAACACGAGAGCTGTACGGCTTGTTTGTGAGGACCCTGATCGGGGTAATGGAGCAGGATGATATGCGTTACACCCATATGCCCAAAGGCAACCCCAATACTTTGGTCTTGAAGCGAACGTCAAATGATGATCTCTTGGAGCGCAAGCACCATATAAAGCAGCTATACCACGCTTGTTATGATCTAGGCTCATTCTCTCGTTGGATTAAGCAGAGCTTTGACTGAAATTCTCTTAGCTGCGAGTCTCGACATGGCGGACAACAACACACCTTTCAGCAGCTTCGAATCTCTATTGGCCCAACTCGGGAAGAGAGACAGGTGGCGGTGATGCCTTCCGAGGTTACAAAGGTATGTCAACTACGCACCTGCTGGTAGGACGGTATTCGCACGTCAGTACTTAGCTATGTTGCAGTCGCTACGGTGGGATCACAAGCAGAGGAGTAATGGCTCCTACAGTAGTACTTATTACTTGCAAAGCTATACTCTAAGAGGCTTCATGAGGGTGAACATTCACCTTTATAGCGCCGCTACCATCGCGATACGCATCCAACGCCTTATTAACCGCCCTCTCATCAAGCCCACTAATAGTGCTGTAATGCCCCAGCGGGCGGATTTCGCCAGCTTCTAGCCAACCTGGCAGATGCTTCCAGAATAGCCGTCCCATCTCCCGATGAAGGTGTCCCGCCCCTTGCGTAAATCTCACCTCGTATCCGGCCACCTTGCTCCCAACCTTTGACTTATCTACGCCACCCGGTAGTAACGTCGCTATAATGCCCCGTTTGCTATTCGAGAGTAGCGATACGCCAAGGGCACGCGCCGCGGGGTCGTGGTTAACCACGTCGAGGGCGTAGAGCAAGTCGTCGCCAATAATGCTACGGCATTGCTCCTCTACATCCGCGGCGTGGCGATCCAATACGTAAGTCGCGCCGAGCTCCTTCAACTCAGCCTCTTTCTCGGGCGTCTTGCCTGCGAGAGCGACGATGGTCCCGAACCCGACCAGCCGCGCAAATTGGATGGCTAGCTTGCCGCAGTTGGATCCGCCGCCGATGACGAGCAGGCTGCAATGCTGGTAGTCAAACGACTCGCGCTCGCTGGAATAAGGGGCAGGCAGGCCGAGGCCGGAGGGGTGGAAGAGGGCGACAAAGGATGCCATGGCCACGGTGGGGAGCGTGGCTGCTTCGTCGAAGGATAGAGAGCTTGGGATGGGAGCGACCAGGTCGGCCGGTGAGATGGCGTATTGCTGCACGCCGCCTCCATCGGGCCCGCTGAAGCTGTCGGCTTGCGCGAAGACGCGGTCCCCCGGCTTGAAGTTGGTTACCTCCGATCCGACCTTCTCTACTACTCCCGCAATGTCATTGCCGGTGATGTAAGGCAGATGGTCGGGAGTGATAATGAGGCCGTGGTCGCGGATCTTCTGGTCATGGGGGTTGACTGAAAGGTTACTAAGTTAGCTCGACAGTATGGAACGGTATCGATGGGAGGTTCATGCAATGGGTAGTACCTACGTCCTACTACGACGATCTTCAGTAGTATCTGATTCTCGTTTGGCTCTGGTATATGCCGGGATTTCAGCACCAACGGAGTGCCAACCTTTTCGAGGATAAGAGCCTTTTGCGACATGTCGTGGTCACCGTGTCAGAAACAAGACAAGACGTGGTCGTTCGGTATTGCGCTTGTTGAAACAATGAAAACAACTGAATGCTGACTAGGTGGACATGTCGATGGACCGTCTCTTATCGACAGTCGTTTCCTGTTCTATAGTAGCGAGCCTCGCCGTCAATATGTCGCCGAGCTTACTACTGCTTACGGTTTACCCCGCTGGCGGCTTCTTGGCCCTTGTTTTAACGCCCCGACATTACTAATTGCCCTGTGGGCTTATTAATTCCCAGTACAGACAACGAACGAACCTCTGTCCAATGGCTCCGATGATCGTCGTAACTCCGATACGAGTGCGGAAGACGCTACTACTAGTACCGAGCACAGACGTCCTGTTATACCCATGCCTTAATAGTTATAGCCCCCCTTGAGCATTGCGACGAGACTCATACTCCAAGTGTTAACATCCTGTTAACATCCATATAGCCTCAAGCGACTCACCATGGCGACCCCTGAGCAAAAGGTGCTCTTTATTCTTGGAGGCGGGCCACGCATCGGCCACGCCGTAGCCAAGAGATTCGTCAGTCAAGGGTACAAGGTTGCGATCGGGCGACGCACCACCGACAAGACCGACGTTGATGGCGTGCTTCCTGTGTATGTGGATGTTACCAAAGCCGAGACGATCCAGGAAGCCTTCCACGAGGTCGAGTCAAAGCTAGGCGTTCCCAACGTGGTCGTGTATAACGGCAGGTTCCCCGACCAACAATTCTACCAACATCCACTCGAATAGTAGTACTGATGTTTTTCGGCTGTTTAACAACAAACCAGCCGCCGCTCTGACCTTCCCCCCCGAGAATGACCCGTTCGGCGTGGAGCCAGCTTCGTTCACCCGCGATCTAGCAACCAACGCGGACGGTGCCTACGCCGCCCTCCACCATGCGACTCACCTCGGTCGACGCCACAGCATCTCTCCTCTCATCTTCATCGCGACGGGCAATGTCACCCCCTTCAGAGTGAACCCGCTTGCTGTAACGCTCGGGCCTGGAAAATCTGCGCTAGCCCATCTCATCTCGCTCGGGGCCACTGCGTACGACAAGAATCAGTTTAGGTAAGTACTCTATCCCTGCCCTGTACTTCACGCTTCTCCCTACCTTGTGCTTGGCATCGTACGCAGAGGGACTGAGTCTAACCTACCACCTACGTACCTTGTACCGAAATAGGTTCTACTTTGCTTCGCAGGTCACAGACGACGGCGGTCCTGTGCCATATCCCCAGGTTAGCGGCGAGGCGCATGCGGAGGTCTACTGGAAACTTGCCAACGAAGAAGGGCATGGGTGGGATGTGAGATTTAGTGTGGCCGCCGATGGGTCGACAAGGTTCGCCTGAGGACGACGTCAGTAGTAGTACAATCCGAGCGAAGCAAATTGCGTGCAGTCCGGAGAACTCGTCGTTTATCAGGATGCTAGCGCCCGCATCTCCGCACTGCCGTTTTCCTGTAACGGACAAGCAATGGCACTCGCAGGTGGTAGTATTGATATGAGCACAAGGCCGCGGTTTGCGCTGTTCTGGGCTGTTCGGGATGGCTTACTGTGTCTGTGTTCTGGGCTGTATGCCGTGTCAATGTGTGTCCAGAAGAGGTGCGGGAACGTCAAGCCGGGTGTTCGCCGAGGACATGTTGGTTTCTTTGTTTTTATTTTTTTCGCCTTTTGCTTTCCTCCCGTCGTGCCAGATCAACCCTATGCGATACCATCTTGGCAATCAATAGCGCACCCGGAATCCGGTCCTCAACGTAGCATTCAAGACATCTAGGCAGGCAACCTTCCTGGATCCAGAGCACGATGCGTGGCTGTCGCTTCGCCGGGTTGCGACACTACTCGCCTTGGCATGTCACTATGCATGCGGTTGGATGGCGTAGAGTCGCGTCTCCCATTCATAGCCAACACGCAGCTGCATTAGCTTCGCTTAACGATCCAGAAGGGGGAAATTCTCCCCGGTGTCCCGGAACCGTGCAGGAAGAACAACCCGCGATGGTTACACATATATGAGTTAGTCCAGCCAGCATTCTTCATCGGCGGGTTCCTGGTATCAGGTGCAATCCAAGTACTCTCCCTTTGTTTTGCGGAACGACCTGGTTAAGATGGCCGTGTCCCTGCTGAGGCTGGCCTGCACTGCCGCTTTCCTGTCGACGGGCCTTGCGCAAATCCACGTGAGAGACAAACCGGATGCCGCCGTGGCTGTTGTGGATTCATTGGATTTCTCGGACGCAGCAGATGTCCAGGCTTCCACCATCAAGGGCATCAACTTCAGCTGCAAGTGCTACCCGGGTCAGTCGTGTTGGCCGTCAGCCGCCAAATGGAATGCACTCAACGCTACCGTCGATGGGAAGCTGCTCGTCCATATCCCGCCGGGCGCTCCCTGCCACAACACCTTCAAAGGACCTCTCGGGGAGGTCCAAACGTACGATGAAGCAAAGTGTGCTGAGGCCACCGAGAACTGGAAAAGCGAGTCATGGATGTAAGAGTGGTACAGCATGACGGTATCACGACGGACTGACTGATTGGTGACCCCGTGTGATAAGTGTGAGCCAGCCAGCCGCCGCACTCTGGACCTACTTCACGAACGACACGTGCCGGCCGACGCAAAACCCAAGCGACAGCTGCACGCTGGGCTACTACGGCGTGTACGTGATCATGGCGACCACGCCGCAGCACGTCAAGGCCGGCATCGACTTTGCGCGGCGGAACAACGTGCGGCTGATTGTGCGTAACACGGGCCACGACTTCATCGGCCGCAGCACGGGCTACGGGTCGCTAGTCATCAACACGCACAGCTTCCAGCAGATCGACTGGATCGATGCGTACAGCGGCCCCGGAAGCTACAAGGGGGCAGCCGTCACCATCGGCGCGGGCGTTCAGGGGCAGACAATTCTGGCCGCAGGCCACGCCCGAAACCCGCCGCTCGTTGTCGTGACCGGCGAATGTCCCACCGTAGGCATTTCCGGCGGCTTTATCCAAGGCGGAGGCCACGGCCCCTGGACGACTCTGAAGGGACTTTGTAAGACAACACCCAGGTGCAACTTGTAACTGAAGAAAAGCTGACAAGTCATCGCAGCCGCCGACAACGTTCTCTCCTTCGAAGCCATTACCGCCTCGGGGAAGTACGTGACCGCCAACGAGAAGCAAAACCCGGACCTGTTCTGGGCTCTCAAGGGCGGCGGCCCGGCATCGTTCGCCGTGATCCTATCCGTCACAATGAAGACATTCCCAGACATCCCCTCAGCCGGCGCAACGCTGTACATCAACAGCACGCACACCACAGACGCCGACGTATGGTGGAACGGCACAGCGACCTTCCACAAGTGGTCCAACCACTTCGTCGACAACGGCCTCTACGTCTATTTCGAGATAGGCCCGATGTCCCTGCGCGCCCGGCCCTTCGTCGGCATCGGCAAGACCTCCACCGAGTTGCAGACTGTCCTCCAGCCTTTCCTCAACGAGCTCTCGGCCAAGGCCATCCCTTTCGAGTTCGTCACCAAGGACTTCCCGACCTTCTACGACCTGTACATTGACCTCTTCGAGCCGGAGGGCGCGGGCGACGCGGCGCTGACGGGCGGGTGGATGTTCAACCACGACGACGTGGCCACCAACAACGACGGCATCATCGCCGCCTTCAAGACGGTCATGTCCCCGCGGCCCGATCTGCTGGGTTTTATGGTCGGCCACCTGTTCAACCCGGGCTATGGCGCCCCCGTGAGCAACAGCGCTACGCATCCGGCGTGGCGCAACGCCACGGACTTTGTCATTGTTGTGTTGCCTGTGCCGGCCGGTGCGTCGCTGGCGCAGAAGGCCGATTTGCAGCATGTTTTGACGAATACTATGGATGAGGCACTCAGGAAGGCCAGCACGAGTGGGTGTACCTATGTCAACGAGGTGAGAATTCCCTTTTCCATATACAACGCAAGTGTGTCTTTTGGTGAGTGGTGCTACTAATAATCAATATGCTGACTGCGCTCCTAGGCCGACCCGTACCAGCCGAACTGGCAGAGCCATTTCTGGGGCGACCAGTACCCCATCCTCAAGGCGCTTCGGTCCAAGTGGGATCCCATCGGTGTGTTTTATGCCGTCTCAACGCCGGGCACTGAGGGTTGGGAGGTCATTGAGGACGGAACTCGGTTGTGCAGGAAGCTGTGAGCGCCTGTCGCCTCCCGCCGCCGTGTGGGGTGTGTCTCCGCAGAGGAAGTCAGTTCTGGATAGATAGCAGCATTTCTATTACTAGAACTCTGATAGCTTAAAGTCTAAGTCGAGTCAATACCTCCTGATGGTTATTGGCCTTGAATTGTAGGATGGGAGAACTCCTCCCCGGGCCGGTGTCGGGGAAGACGGCAACGTGCCGGGCTGTCCGGCAGCACTAGAACGTATCAGGCAGGGATCGGTAACATATCTGCTCCGGGTTTCGGCCGATCCCGCCGCCACACCCGATGATACGACCCACTGTGGACCCTCCCCTCACCTTCCCGATATGCTCATGGTGTCGTGATAAGGCACAATGCTTTTGTCAGCGTGCAATATCCTGCGGTGTGTCGAGTTCGGTGCAGCAGGCTGTGTGGAGGTAGCAAACGTGGATCTTCTTCAACTACCTAAGTAATTACTAGTAGTTAGTACAGACGACGATGACCTCAAATGCCACGGAACGCACCGCACTCCTCGGCCATGGCCAACACGACCACACCGCAGCTGCTTCCGATAGCACCAGTAAGCACGGACATGGCGGCTCCCATGACGGAGATGGCTGCGCATCATGGCTTCGACATCTGCTCGGCATCCACGTCGAGAAGCGCATCTTGTTCGCCGGCTTCCTGATCACCCTGTCCTTTAGCTTCACCCAGGTCCCGTGAGTGAGATAATCCACCGGACCCTTAATAATGAAGGTCACACCGACTGATAGAAAAAAATCTCTGCAGAATATTCTACGTCTTCCATCTAATGGAATGCGACGTCTTCTACAGCAACCCCAACCACGCGCCCTATACGGGGCCCGGCGACCGGTGCAGCCGCAACGAGATCGCGGCCGGCACAGCCACGCAGTTCTCCATCCTCGGCATGAGCACCACCTTCTGCGGCACCATCAACCTGTTTGTGGCGGGGTGGATGGCCAAGCGCTTCGGCCCGCGCGCCGCGCTCATGGTGCAAACGTTTGTGCCCGCGATCCGCGTCGCGACCCAGATCCTGGGCGTCGTGGCGGGCGGGCAGGCGGGCATCATCATCTTCCAGTGCACGCAGCTCATTACTGTTGTGGGAGGGCCCGTCGGGTATATGTGAGTCTTTTGCGCGCTTGCTCCCTCTTACCCAGTTTAGTGTGTGTGTGTTTCTGATCCCCAACAGTCTGGTTGCAAACATCATCGCCGGCGAGGTCGTCGAGCCCGTGCGGCGCACTGCGGTGTTTGGCATGCTTCAGGGATGTTTCATGCTGGGCCAGGGCATTGGATACCTGAGTAAGCTGTCCATACTAGTACCCTACATTTAGTATTCCCATGTGTTCCGCACTCGCCTTTGCTAACCAGGACCAAACCAGGCGGGGGCATGATTGGAGACATCTGGGGGATACGACGGCCCTTTGAGGTGGCCTTCTGCTCCTTCCTGCTGTCGACCTTGTACGTGCGTCTTGCCATCCCGTACATTGCGCCGGAAACACTGTCGAGCGGCTCCAAGCCGAGCTCTAAGGGTGCCGCCGAATTCTTCGCGCCTTTGCGCATTCTCGCGCCCCAGAAGGTGGTCCTCGGCAGCGGTGTGGTCATGAAGCACTATGGGGTTCTGTTCCTTTGCGCTGGTGTCTTTCTCGGCGTGGTAAGTTCAACCACGCACCGTGACACTGGAAAGTCGGAGCTAACCCCCTGTGCTAGTTGGCCACCGACTATGCCCCGCTGCTCATCCAAATGTACGCCACAGCCGTCTTTGAGTTCCACCAGGGCGACAACGGCTTCCTCATGTCGGGATTCGCGTGTATGCGTGCGGCGTTTCTGATTCTGCTTTTCCCCCGCATCATCAGCAGCGGCCGGAGATGGTACCTGGCTCGGGGCTCGCGGGTGGAACGCCGTGAGGAGACCAGACCCCGATCTCGGTCTATGCTGGTGACAAATCCCGAGGAGCTCGAGGCTCCAATGGGCAGCTTTGCCGAGCAGGAGCCGGTGGGGTCCTCCGAGGCGAAGGACGACGAGGGAACTCAATTCGACCTGTTCTTCCTTCGCATCAGCCTGGTTGTCGACGGCGCCCTAACCATGTGTACGGCTTTTGCCACGGAGGGCTGGCACATCTATCTCGGTATGTCGATGAGTTGGGACGTGGTTCGAATTGTTGACAATACTAACACTCTGCAGCTGCCTGCTTGCTTCCCTTTGCTTCCGGCTCCGCGCCGGCGGCCAAGGGTGTCATGGTGGAGATGTGCCCCCCGTCGAAGCGGGCTGATGCCATGAACGCCCTGACGCTCATAGAGAACATCGGAAGGCTTGCGACCCAGGGCTTGTTCGGCTTCGTGTTTGCGGCGCTGGCTGAGATTGGCAAGCCTCATCTGACCTTCTTTGTCAATGCGGTGCGTTTCCCTCTGCACCGTTGAGTTGACAGGTTGAGTTTGTGCGCTAACTCTATATGCAGGCCATTGCCCTACTCGCAACCGGCGTGCTGTTGTTCTCTGGGTTCCCGCCCGAGGGCAGCAGACGTTTGGAGGACAATGGAACCCAGGAGCAGGAGGCGCTTAGTCCGTCATCTCAGAGCTAAGCAAGGCCGGTGACCGGACAGGGACTATGGGATATTACAGACTCGTATCCACCTTACTAGCCTCCAAGCTCCCTTCCGATCTGCGAGTGCAGCGGACGAGCATCTCGTACCATTGAAGCTCCACCGTTCCCAACACCCTTCCTCGCTAGACTAGCTGTACTAGATGAGGTTCCTCAAACTTCGCAACGTCAAAGATCTCTCAAAATAGAGTTTCAAGATCTAACACTCTGAAAGCACCCAGAAGACCCGCCTTCCATCACCAGTAGACCGTAGGCTAGTGACTGGCTTCAGCAAACAAAAGACATAGGATGTCGACAAATCCGCCAGGCGAGTTCATCGAAAATGGCCGGGCCATTGAGACAGCGACCAGCACTCTCACTGCCGACGTACTAGACGTTTTCCGAACACAAGATTGCATGTCGGCTAAAAAGAGCCGGCATAAGATCCCTGATATCAAATCAAATATAGTGCAGTATTACATCCTTCCCGCCCGACGATATCTCGGTTCCGGGTTAACAGCAATGCGGGGCTTGTCGTCCCCTTTGTTTTGTAGGCTTCATTAGTATCCAAACCCCTCTTCCCTTCCGTAGCTCTAAGGTTCTGATGTTAATCGTTTAGATCTGCCTCTCTCATCGGCCAGGGGCCACGTCGTGCTGCTTGTCACCAGAGCATACCTGACCAAAGATCTCCAGATCCCCCTCGGGTTCAAGCGAATAACATGAAGCTTATCAGCTACTTAATCAAGGCGCTCGCCGCGGCCGGTGCACTGCAGTATCTAGTCCCAGTCAGCGCCAGATGCGCTATATATCGAGACACCAGAGCATCAATCGCACCTCGACAGTCCCCCTCAGCCTGCTCCGATGGCACAACGATCGAGAACCTCTGGTTGGTGGAACGGCTAAACGTGACCTACACCAGCGACGAGCTCGTGCGGCCGGGCAACGCCTCTTGGACCGTCACCAACACCTTGACCAACACAACCGAGCGGATCAGCTGCACCCTGCGCGCCAACTACATCTGTGAGCTCAACGGCACGCCGGGCGACGCCAGCTTCCACATCTGGCTGCAGATTAACCTGGACGTGGCAACCTTCACTCTCAACCAGACTCTTCCCTGCGGGGATAGGCCACCTGTTAGGTAAGCAAGAACTTGAAGTCTCCGTCAGCTCTACCTTCGCCAAATCGACAGCACTCGTTTCTAACTAATTCCATGACTCGATACTAGATCCGCCTATGCGCTTGGCACAGCCGAGTTGTATCTGATCTGCCCCAGCAGACACGCCGACGAGGACTTCTCCTGCTACAGTGACGACGACGGTACCGGATTCGCGAACGGAGATGTCACATTGCTACTGGGCTCTTCTGATGAGGCTCGTGGCTAAAAGGCGGTCTCGAGAATGATAGCGTGTCTGGAAAAAGATGGTCTCGGTGAGGCAAGCAAAGAGTCGGCAAATGGAGGCATAATAAACTCTGACCGGGGGCTCAAGGCGTGGCGAGGAAGGTCCCTCAAGCTCCGCCGGGGGACTAAGAGAACAACACCGATTGTGGAGTCACCGCACCTCCGACTGTACTGCACTTGAGCTCCCTTGTCTCACATCCAGCTTGCTCAACAGATAGCTTCAACTATCAGATGTACAGTGTCCAAGGCGGTAATACATGGCAAGCCTTGCTACTGTTAGGGGTGGGAAAGAGGAGTGATTCTACTACTATGTTAAGGTGCAACACAATGATAATTGTATTTCCTCTTCAAATCCCAGTCTCCGCAATAGAGTGACCCGTTCAACATGATTCAGCATTCCGCTTCCGCTCAGTCTGAATCTAATGCCTTTCCTAGACTGTAGGTAAAGGCCACTGTGATTTAGTCGTATCATCAGCATCAGGCTGTTCGCCTTTTTGGCAAGACGACTCACATGATGTACCACGGATCTGAGGCATGGGAGGATTGGGAGCCAAACACCGCTCCGGCGCTCAACCATGGCTGCAGGTACAACCTTTTCGAAGGGCGGGGTCAAAAGTCGGGTAAGGCACGCAGAGATAGCCTCGCGGGCAGGGCTGCCCCTCGGCGCCGCACGCTGAAGTCGAGCATGGCCCGGTGTACTGCCCAAACGAAAGGGGCAGGACGGTCAGGAGGATGACTGTTGTCTTGTTGAGCCACATGGTTATGCCTGTGCTTGGGCGTTATAAACTAAGTGAATCGTGAAAAGAGGCTCTGTTGTCTAGAGATGAGCAGGTTGCAGGTCTTAATATGTATTGTAGAGGAATAAACCGGCAAAACCATCTTTGTTTTGTGTAACGGTTGCTCCATCTCGGTGACGCAGGCTAAGGCTGACCGTGACGATTGTGCCGACTTGGGCCGGCTTGGACAGTCTTGGCCAGGCAGTTTAGACCATCTTCAATTCGTTCAATTCTTGGGACGATGAGATCGACAAGGAGTGCCCGGTGTTCTGGCCACCAAACAGGTCAAAATTGCGAGCGGGCTGAGCCGCCGGGCCCTTGGCAATGAAATGCAGACAAGAGAAGTCTTGGAAGAAGACGAAACTTGCGTCTGGAAGCTAGACAAGTCAGACAGGCCATATGTCAACAAAAGTTCAAATCCGTGTCGGGTGTCTGGTCTAATTATAGCTCAACCCTAAAGGTTGCAAGCCTTGGCATTGTCCAGGGCCCTTGCGATGGTTTCATCATCTCAGGTCGTATTGTTACAGTAGTGTAGGTTAGAGCATAGGTGTGGTCTGAAATGGTGTGTATTTAGTACCGTACCTTATATGCTGACGGGCTCAAAGTCTCGGTGACGTTGTGAACTCAAGGGTCTCGGTGGTGTTGAACACGTGGTCGGCGTCGTAGCTGCAGTTGGCTTAGTGTACGGAGTAGTGCCATAGTAAGTTTGGTGCACCTGCAAGTCCCTCCTATCACCACTCTCCCTACCAGCAGGGGCCTGTGGGCTCCGATCTTAGCCTTATTTTTGTCTCGCCGCCTCGTTTTCTTCCCGCCTTGCTCTCGTTTCAGCGATCGTCACAGCTTCGCCCGATCTGGAGACGATCACCATGAAGACCGCCGCGCTTCTTGGAGCGGCGCTTGTGGTTGCCGCCGTCCATGCCGGGCTAGTCCCGACGCGGGATGTTTCTGCCGCTGCGGAGGACGATCTCACCGAGTCAAAAGGCCTGACCGATCTCCTCAGCATAGCCAAGACCCAGGTGCTTGAACAACTCAAAGAGACCGAGAAGGCGTTGCGCGAGCGCGGCGAGGCGCCCCGCTGCACCGCTGACAAGCTCGTCTTCCGCCGGGAGTAGTGCGTGCTTTCGGGAATAGCTCCCAGAGTTGTAGATACGATGATGACTGACCAACCTTCCATCCATAGTGGCCCACTGAGCAAGGCCGAGCGACTCGCCTACATCAAGGCAGTCAAGTGCCTGCAAACCAAACCCGCACGCACACCAGCCAGCGTCGCCCCGGGTGCCAAGTCGCGGTTCGACGACTTCGTAGTCACCCACATCCAGCAGACGCTGGCGATCCACTACTCGGGCATCTTCCCGCCGTGGCACCGCTGGTTCGTGTACCAGTACGAGAGGGCGCTGCGCGATGAGTGCGGCTATACGGGCTACCAGCCATACTGGGACTGGCCGCGCTACGCCCGCGCGCCGCAGGACTCGCCGCTCTTCAATGGCGACCCGTACAGCTTGGGCGGCAACGGCGAGTACGTCCCGCACGACGGACCCGTCATCGTGCCGCCCGAGGGGGTGGAGGGCGGCAACATCTCGCTGCCCGCGGGCGTCGGGGGCGGGTTCGTAAGGACGGGACCGTTCGCCAACATGACGGTCAACCTCGGCCCCGTCGGCGGCACGGCCGACACGGCTCCCGGACCGCTCGGCGGGCTGGGCTACAACCCGCGGGGGCTGAAGCGCGACCTGGGCGGGGCCATGAACATGCGCTACGCCAACTACACGACGGTGCTGCGGCTGCTGACGCAGCCCGACGTCGACGCCTACCGCGTCGTGTCCGAGGGCGTGCCCTACACGGTCGAGATCGGCCCGCACGGCGGCATCCACTACACCATCGGCGGCGAACCGGGCGGCGACCTGTTCACGTCGCCCGCCGATCCGGCCTTCTGGGTGCACCACGCCCAGATGGACCGCATGTGGGCCGTCTGGCAGGCGCTGGGATCTGCCAACAACAGCAGCGGTACAAATAAGCGGTACGCGGACCTGGGGAAGGGCGAGTATGCCCACCGCACGTGGCAGAATAACCCGCCCTCACCACTGGCTGAGCTGAGTGATGTGATCGATATGGGCTATGCGGCGCCCTCGACTACCATCGGGGATGTCATGTCGACAACGGGAGGGGAGCTGTGCTACTTCTATCTGTGAGGAGCGGCAGCATTACTTTGCTCGGGCTCTCAATCCTTAACAACCCCTTCTCTGTGCATACATCAAGAAGTATTTACGCAGATAACAGAAAATAAACCCCCTGATATATCCCCCCTCCCTTCTGCTGCAACCATCCATGCCTCAGCGACGGTTGAGAGCATTCATGTCCCTCGCATGCCGGTACACCAGCGTCTTGGCCTCCTCATCGTCCAGATAAATCGTGAACCCATCATCATGGTTGCGACCATACGAGTAGTTCGAAAACCCGTATTGCCAGTACATATCCCCCGCCATCTTCTCGGCCACCATCGTCTGCTGCCACGCGCCCACAACCTCCCCTCTCGTCCGGTTATCCACCTTACCCGTGTACTCGAGCCTCTTATCGGGCGTCAGCCAACCATACTCCTCATGAACAACCGGCTTGCCCGCCCTCCGACCCGCCGCGGCGTGGTCGCGGATCCACTGGTCCGTCCACTCGACCGTCTTGCTCCACCAGTCCGGGTACGAGTGGAACACGCCAAAGTCGATGGTGTCCAGCGATAACTCGTGGTCAAAATCGCCCCCGTCAGCGCCGTTATACGCCCAGTCGTCCTCCGACGGCCGGTTGAACCCGCCCTCGCCGCCCCAGGTGACCAGGTGGTTGCGGTCCAGCGTCTTGATATACCCGCTCATCTCGGCGATCCAGCTCGAGACCACCGCGGGCGTGCACCTGTCGCCGGGGCTGCGCGGGAGATTGCGAACGCCGTCGGCGCCGCAGCGCGGCTCGTTCGCCAGCTCCCACGCCATGATGGCCGGCGAGTCCCTGAACCGCGTCACCATCTCCCGGACGTAGCGCTTGAAGGCGTCCTTGATCCTAGGCACCGTGTAGAAGTCGTCGTGGTACTGCCCCCTGAGGTTGACTGTGTACACGTCCATGCCGCCGTAGTCGGCCCAGTTGTTGGTCAGTGCCACCACGAGCTTGATGCCGCCGACCTTGGTTGCCGCCTGCACGACCTTGTCGAAGCCCGAGACGTCGATCGTCGAAGTGCCGTTGGCATGCCACCACTGGAACACCACCTCGGATGGGCCGGCGCCCTCTCCGCCGTACTGCGGCAGCCCGCCGGGCACGAAGGTGCTGTTCTTGTCGTTGAACCCCCACGTGCGGAACACTGTGAGCCCGGCCTTTTTCGCTGCTGTCAGGCCCTTCTCGATGTCCTGCTGGTTCTAAAGGCGGGGCCATCATATGTTAGCGGCGGTGGTAGAACAGGAAAATAATAGGGATGTGATTTGGTAAGGAGTACTAGTAGTCCACGAACCCCATTGAAAGGGAAATAATAGGCATTGCTTCCAGCAAAGTGGAAGTCCTTGCCCTGCAGCTTGAACTTATCGCCCTCGACACTGACAAACTTAGACGAAGGACGGCCGGGTTTGCTGGGAGCAGCCGTGGCCGTCAGGGCCAGAAGGCCGCTGACCAGCAGGTGTAAGGACGAGGCGTGCATGGTGACCGATCTGGACGCTCATGGGTTTGAAGTTCGCCTTCTCGCCTTCAGAAGTTCCTAGACCATTCGAAAACTTGATCACGCCATGGCAATGATATTTATCGTTCCCGGTCCCATCACCCGATCACGGCCCAATTCGTCGACGGAGCATCTCGCGCCGCCCTCCAAGAAAGGCAAGGCTTGGCTTGACTTGGCAGACACGGCCGAGACTTCTTCTTCCGCAGCTTCCCCGGGCCGATCTTTGCGGGGACCCGGGAATATGGTTCTGCAGGACGCGAGCAACGAGAAGCTGTGTTTTCCCGAATGGTGGTTCCATACCGGAGTTCCCCGCATTGCCGTGTTACCTAACTCGGTGTGGCTGCGGCCGAGCCATGCCCGTGTTCCCCTTGGGGATAGATCCACAAGTCTGCTAGCAGTGTGCAAGCGAGGGTGATCCTCGGAAGCGCTCGGTGGTACGGAGTATTAATGTAGGTAGGCTGCCACTGCTGACATTTTACTGGTGCAATCGTGACATAAAGCTATCGAAAGAATGGAGGGTCATAATTCAGGCGTAAAAGCTACTCGTCAGGCGGCCATGTCACAAGCCGAGGAAGAAGAGGAAAAGGGTTTGTTCGTTTGACCCTGTGCTGGTCAAGCATCTGGCAAGCAACCTTTTCTCGCCAATAGGAAAGCGTGACGTGTATACAACAAGGCCGGTAACCGGAGTGTAATCTTGCCTTCAGTATCATGGTAAAAGAACAAGAAATACTAATGAAAACTGAAAAGGGATTCAATAAACAGAGATAAGAGCCCGACTCCACGCCTTGCCCCATCTCCCTCCCGAGTCCCGTCTCAGAGACAGACAGCATGGTTACCACTGATAGCTCACCCGGTTGAGTCCAACATGAACGTATCCCCCATTTGTATTTCATTCCCCCTCAGCAACACCCGCCATCCCCAACTCCCTTATCTCCACGATGACTCACTCACAGCACTCGCCTCACAGTCCCGCGGGACGGTGTACTCGCGGTTGGGGTCGCTCTCCCACGAGACAACAGCCCCGTTGCTCGCCGCCACACGAACAAACTTGTATTCGAACTTTATGCCGGCGGGGAGGCTGACCGTGTAGATCCAGACAGGGTTAGCGCTCGTGTACTCGGCCGCAGACAGCGCCGGCGCGGCCGACGGGTCCCAGTTGCCGAGCTCCGGGATGGAGCCGACAAGCTTGATGGTCTCGCCGAAGGCGGTTGTGACGCGTTGCTTGAAGGTCACGGCAACAGAGGCGGCGGCTGCGGCACAAAAGGAGGCGCTAGGCTTTGCCGTTGCAGACTGGGTCTGCGTGCTGGTGGTGACCAGAGTGGTGGTTGCGGCTCCTCCTCCTCCTCCTCCTCCTGATCCAGCAGTGATGGCGATGTCAGCACACGAGAGGTAGATCTGGCTTGTCTGGAACGAGTTCCACTTGAAAGAGAGCAGCGTGTGGGACGACAGGTAGTCCGGGATGCGGATCTTCTTGGTGACAGTGTATCCGCCGGCGATGCTGGTGTAGCAGGACCCGAGGGCAGCGTTGTCGACGCCCTGGCACGCGCGTCGGCTGTCGGCCTGGAAGGCGTTGCACGTGAACCAGTCGTTGCGCCAGCATGGCTGGCCTTCCGAGCAGTCTGGGTTGAAGCCGCACGTCTGGCCCGACACGTCGGTGCATGCGAGCGTGCCGGCCTCGAAGCAGTCCTCGGCCGCCTGCTTCTCATCTTCGGTAGGGAGGTAGCCCGGCGTCAGGAACTTGTCGACCAGGGTCTGGTTCTGACAGATGCGGTAGCTGAACATGCCCCCGTGGTCGCCGTTGTGGTCAACGCACCACTGCACATCGACAACCTGACCAGGGGAGTATGTGGCTACGGGCGAGCCTCCCCAGTGATCGGCCGGCTGGTTGTAGTCGATGCTGACCCGGGCGTTGTAGCCACACGGTCCGCTCCGTCCCACGGCGGCAGCATCCAGATCGGGCCACGCTGTGACGGGTTCGAGAATCGAACATTCCGGGCACGAATCTAGGCCTGCCTGTTCAGTGGAGGAAGGGTCAGCAAAAGTAAGATAGTAAATCCCCGTTCTTGTCCCCTTACCTCTGCGCCAAGCCGAGTGCGGCTGAACGGGATGGTTAGGTAGCCGTGGCCAGCGACCAGACTTGCCGCCGATAAAATTGTCGCACCGTGTAACAGCTTCATGGCTAATGTGTCACTGTGTTTGTACCTTTCTCAGGGACTGTCTTTTCCACAAATAAGGCTTGCAGAACTGGTCGTGAGACACGTAACGGAAGTGCGAGGAGCAGAGCGAAGTCCAACTGGTGAGGTCAAGCAAGCCAAGTAACAGCACCTTAAGTACCCCGGACTGTCCTCAATCCCATCTTTGGCTTCTGATGCAGCGCTGCCATGGTTGCGTCGTCGAGGAGACAGCAGCTCCGTTCGCAGACCACTTTCCTGCGGATGGCACCGTATCGATGTCAGGTTCGGCCTTTTGCTCGGTCATAGCAAGACAATGCGGCCGAGGTAGGCCCAAGAAGAACAGAATTCCGCCTTGCTGTAGGGCAGTGGAGCTGGGGAAGCAGGGCAGTCAACCTCGACGGTTGTTCTGCCAAGCCGTCAATGTCTGGTACAAACGGGGTTGTCACCCCGCACAACGGTCCTACGTCTCCACGATTCAAAGGTTGCGTTGTGCGGGGACGGAGCCGCATGGCCTCGGTCGGTAGTAGTGCCGAACGTGTGTGGACGGGTCTATTTCCATGCTTGGAGCCTGCTCCGGTCAGGACAAACCCATACCGCGGGAGTCATGTCATTCTGAAAACGGACCGACTTTTGAACTCCCGCACCGGTTCTCAATTGTATTCCACCCGCTACGCAGTCCAAACTCCGACATCCCTGGCAGATACTCCGCCACCCACAGGCAAGGCAGATAGGCAAGCCGTTCCTAAGCCACCGACCCAACTCTGTTGTGGCATATTGCTGCAAGAGAGGTCGGGTGGTTGAATGAACAAATTACATCAGCAAACTCTCCTAAGATTGAGTCCATGAACATGAACTCTGTGGCAGGTTATGCAGTTCCTACTCGTCACGGTTTCCAAGCCCCTAGGTTAAGATAAATACCTAAGTATTTGTGCAACGGTAGACACCCTCCACTACACTTCGAATGAGACGGCTATCGAGAATTCGGACCGGATAGAGACACTAAGTGACCAAACCAGCCACTGCAATGTCATCTTGCGCCAAGCCCGCCGACAGCTATCCTTCTCGAGCAACGGCAACAGTATAGCCAAATAGAAATGACAATGATCGGGAGCTAATCTCGCCCACCATCAAGCTTCAACGCCTAGTTGCCCTTCCTCCCCTTGCCTTTGCCCCCCTGGTGATGGGGTTGGCGAACCTCAATGTCTTCCACATCGCGACCACCATTCCTGCCGTTCCCCTTCCCCTTGCCGCCCTGATGGTGGGGCTCGCGTGCCTCGAGCTCTTCAACATCCCGGGCGCCATTGTTGTTGTTATTGCCATTTCCATTTCCATTTCCCTTGCCCTTGCCCTTGCCGCCCTGATGGTGAGGCTCACGCGTCTCAAGCTCTTCAACGTCCCGAGCACCGTTGTTGTTATTGTTATTGTTGTTGCCCTTGTTCCCCTTACCGCCTTGGTGGTGAGGCTCCCGCCCCTCAAGGTCACGAGCGCCATTCTTCCCCTTGCCTTTACCCTTGCCTCCCTGGTGGTGCGGCTCTCGTGCCTCAAGACCCTCGACGTCACGAGCGCCGGACTTGCCTTTGCCTTTGCCCTTGCCGCCCTGGTGATGGGGCTGCCGGGTCTCGAGCTCCACGTCATCTTCATGCTCGTCTTCGTCATCGTCGTCGTCGTCATCTGCAGTCAGGTCGCGCCCGCCCTTCGTTCCCTTCCCCTTGGCTCCCTGGTGGTGTGGCTAGGAGGTGAGAGAGCAGTCAGCATAAGAAATTCGACATAGTATGTCCAGTCCAGGACTTACAGCACGCTGGTAGACGGCCGGCATGGCATGTGCAGGAAGGGCGAGCATCAGCGCGGGGACCTATACGAAGAGGATCAGTCAAAGTGCCCTCTCCATAGAGATTGCGGTACATCATAGAAGAACTTTCGAGCATACCACAAGCCGAGCCACGTCAGTGCCCGTCTGGGCAACAGAGAACGCCGACACCGCCGAGGCGGCCATCACGCCAACGACCAGGCACTGTCCGAAAGTGGTATGCATGTTGAAGGTAAAAAAAAAAAAAAAAAAAACCGGCCGGCGGCTACTAGTAATCAGTGATAAATGGAAGCGTTGTGGGTGAAGAAGAGATGAACAGAAACAGCACAGAAAGCGACCGGGCTTTGCGCGACTGGAAGAAGATGGGTGGACATGCAGATTAGGGGGGATAGTATTCAGTCACCAAGATGAGAGAGGAGTGTGAGGTTTATAAGCCAGGCCATCAATGCACACCATCACATCTAGCTCCCGTCCAACTCAGGAAGTAAGGTCAGGTAGTCTACCTGAACTTCAACAATTGATTCCTAGCGCACACAAACCCTTGTTAGCTTCATTTTAGTCCAGGAGCATCTCCGTGCATGGGATGAGATGATGCAAGTGTCAAAACGCCTTGACCGCCCGGGGTTTCAGATCTCGGGTCTCAAATGAGCAAGACCCAAGTGAAGAGACCGAGGGGCCGCGTAGCACAGAAATTCCCTGGCAAATGGCACTAAGGAGGTAAGAAGTCCAGAAAAGGGTGGGAATGGACATCAACACCGGAACAAGCGATGGCGACTGTGGAACATCATCGGGTATCATGATTCACCCCTTGTGTCCTGTCATCCCAAGCGCCTTAGGTAATCCATGGCGAAGCGAGCTGGGGGATCGACGGGCGGAAAGCTTCTCTGAATTGCTTGGCTCGCTTAGGTTCGGATTGCCCCGCAATCGGCCCTGATCGACGGCCGGGATGCCGATCCGGATCATTGGATGAACGCGGGTTTGGTGGCACAAGCGAGCCTCAGATCTGCTCCTGTCGACCTCTGCTTGGCCAAGGCAGCCAAGACGAAACGCTGCAACGCTGCCTTCAAAACAGGCCTCCTCTTGTTGCCGACAATACTTGAGCTGTTGTGGGTCTTCCAAGGGGGCCGATCTTGCTCCTAGCGCCCCCCGTACGCGCCCCTTCTTGACTTGTTCCAAGCGGCTTGAAACCGTGCTGTGCTTCAGTGCAGTCAGAGTTCGCCAAGACAGGGAATTCAGCTGCGAAATTAGCACTGAGATCCAGAGGATGGCAAAATGTCGGTCTATTGACTTTCTCTCGCTTAAGCGATTTCCGTCGCATTAAGTTGCTCCTGCTCGGTTACCTATGTTCTGATTTTACTCCTGATGACAAACCCGTCTTGTGAAGCGTTGAGGCGTCCCAGCAAGATCGCACAGGACAGGTCCTGGTTTACATTTCACCATATGATTCTTCCCCCGGACTTTGATTGAACAGCGAATTCGACAGGTACCAGTTCGCAAGCCCTCAGCTGTGCTGTTTATTATTTCCCGTTCATCATGGCCGAAGAATATGAACCCATCCCTCTTCTTGACGAGGAGCATCAGTCAGAGAAAGGTACTTGGAGGAGGAAACTGAGTTTGGAAGCCTTGTATCGGACAAGGCCGGTGCAGAGGGCAGCGCGGCACTGGGTCTGGATTGGACACGCCATCTTGCTCTCCATCTCAACGACGCTTTTCGCCCTGGCATTCTGTCTGCGATACTCCCGACCATCCGACTTAGTTGTCACCACCGAGTTTTCCACATATTGTGAGCATTCACTCCGAGCCCGGGGCGAGTTAATATGAGTCTAACCGATACATAGCACCCGCAGCTCCCGTCGTCAAATATAATACCGTCCGATACAACTTGACGCCTATTATGACTGGGTCGCCGTACGTTGGCAAAGGCCCAGAGGTCGACGAAGCATGGGAACAAATATCTCGAGGCAAGAAACCTTGACGTACTCATTACCCGTGGCGCCAATCCTTCTAACACAGACGCAGTGGGAGACATGATGATCTCGCTGGACGAGGTGAAGCGTCTCGGCCTCTCACCGGATTCTCTCAAGATCACCGATCCAAAGACCGGCAAGGTCGGCTACCGAGCGGCAATCGAGGTCTTCCATCAGTTGCATTGCCTCAACTTGCTGAGGCAGTTCACATGGAAGGAATATTATGCTGACGATGGCGGCGATATTAGCGCCGAGCCAGAGGATGTTAGGAGTCATGTTGGTGGGTGCAACACCGTCTGACCGAACCATAGACAGAATATGTCTGCAAGACGGCTAACATGATGTACAGACCACTGCTTAGAGACGCTTCGGATGAACCTGATGTGTCAGGCTGACATCGGGGTTTTCACGTTCAAGACATATCCTGAGCTGGGCGATGACGACCCGTGGCCGGATTTCTCCACGCTGCACACGTGCCGGAATTTCGGGGATATCAGAGACTGGGCTCGGGATAGGGCAGTGACATGGGATGATAACGCTTAGACCGAAAGGCAAGAGTACCTAATGTATGAGTTCATCTTTAAATGATACATGCGGAGTACGGATGTACTTATTAGGCACTAAGGCGCCTCCGTGGCGATCCTCCGCCCCGGACGCCAAGCGTAAACAACAACAATAACAACAACAGTGCGCAAACACATGTGGCGAGCCATGGGATGTTTGCACGTGGTAAGTATGTCAGGAGTCCGTGCATTGGCCACATGTGACGCAAGGCGCGTCCGCGTAAGGTCTGCAGGGTCTGGGCAAGCCTAACATTTTTGCCGATATCACCACCCTGATGGTGCAGGATGGGTACGCTCTCTTTCCTAAAATGGCATATCCTAGGCATGTTCTACGTAACCGTTATGCAGGTTTGAGATGTGGTGGACGGGAAAAGCTTCCCCCACCATGTCCTAATGTGGACGACGGGCTCGTCAGCACCCACACCTTACACATCGCCAAGCGGCAGCTCAAGGCAGGGCACGCCCTGCTTGGATCCCGATGGCTGCCTCGACAGTCTACCGTATTTACTCCATCTCAGACCTCGTTCCCTACCTAGGTTTCCGGCTTTTCCTTTCTTCCCCAACCCCCAAGACCTTCTTGCTCATCGATACCGAATTCGAGGAATCTTCTCATTCTGTCATAACTGTAGCCCACCACTAGCAAGACCACGCCAAACTGTACTAGTACTCAACCAAACCGGACGGCTACGTCCCTGCGTCCAAACGAGCGACCCAACGACCATGGCGACCAGCGCACGCCAGAGCCGGCCATCTTCTTTAATGGCACGAGACGCCCTCCAGAGACTCGCCGTTAGGCGACATTACCAGGAGTATCGACGACACTGCCACCAGGATAGAGGTCCATTGCCACTTCGTCCCCACATCACAAGGAATTGTTGGATCTGTGTTGTGCAACGACAAATATGCTCCTTTTTTAGACGAACCACTCGTCTACCCAGGCATAGTCTGCAAGACTCAGCTGACAGAGCTGCCAGACAGAGGCGCCAACAGGAGCCTCTGACTCCCGTGAGCGAGGAGAACGAGTTCCCTGTAAGTATTGACCCTATGCTCTATTCAGTTGGGCATAATACTGACGAAACTTAGCCCATTCCGAAATGCAAGCTTGGCATCTGCGATACCGGGTATGACAGTCTTGGTGGGCCACTCCTGTGTGAGTGCGACGGAGCTTCTGAGGAGGCAGCCGCCGCTGTAGCGTCCCATGTTTTGGATCTTTTCCTTAACATAAGGGGAGAGGAGATATCCGAGGCGAAGATGAATGGTTGGAAGGAGGGATGATTCTGTTTAGTGTATTTAAAGATATGTTTTCCGATACGCCTGCCAAGCAACCCACTGCGGATATGGTTCTGCAAAGTTCCGTTCTCGCCGCTCGAACCGGAAAGGCTGGCGACCCTGGTACCTCTTGCGCTCGAGATTCCTCCCGTTTGCAGGGGGTCTACCGTTCGTGACGGAGCAGAGCAGGGTCGATCGCCAGCAGCGCCCCCTTCGCCACCATCGCCGCCGCCGCCGTCGTCGCCATCACCGCCGGACCCGGGGCGTGCTCGTGGCTAGTTCTTAATTGAGCCACGAGTTGGTGTACTGGGTGCTCCGGACGTAATGGCCGTGCGACGAGGTTGTTTCATCATCTCGCGAGTTCTCGAAGATCGTGTAGTGACCAAGCGTTCTGCACGGAGCTTTTTTTAAACGTTCTGGGTTGGTTTGTATGTCCGTCCTTTTCTAGGTACAATAACATGTTACTACTATCAGGCGCTTTTTGTTTACTTCTTTACCTATTGCATTACCTAAAAGTTGCCCTCGTCAGCCCCCGGCCACCCCCAACACCCCTCGCCGCTTTTGCTCAGGTCCCATCAGGGGCTGCTCAGGAACGCTCAGGAGAACGATCGGAAACGGCTTAGAATAACGTATCTTATAAGCGAGATGAACATATAAGCGAATTGAACACTTTGACCGCGACGCGTCTTCTCTCCATACCACAACCAAAATCCTCTACACCCAACGATGTCTTCGGCTTCAAGAGAGTCTAGGGTAATCTTAGCCCTTGAAGCTATTCAAAAGAACCCAAAACTTAGTCTTCGCGCCGCGGCAAAGATCTATAACGTCACAGTCAATACCATCCGAAACCGACGCGACGGCAAGCCTGTACGACGCGATACTACGCCCAACTCGCGCCGGCTTACCGATTCCGAAGAGAAGGCTCTTGTTCAGTATATAATTGAGCTATCTGAGCGAGCCTTTCCCCCGAGACTATATAGTGTAGAAGATATAGCCAACCAACCGCTATACGTATACGACGCGCCCCCTGTCGGTAAGCTCTGGGTATATAACTTCGTCAAACGCCAGCCAGAGCTCCGGATATATTATATATGTAGATACGACTACCAAAGGGCCAAATACAAGGATCCAAAGGTCATTGGCGAATGGTTTACCCTTATATAGAACGTTAAGGCTAAGTATGGTATCGTAGATGACGATATCTACAACTTCGACGAGACTGGGTTTATAATGGGCATTATCTTCCCAGGCATAGTGGTAACAACCTTGGATGGCCGTAGCAAGGCGAAGCTAGCCTAGCCTAGCAACCGCGAATGGGCGACTATAATCTCTGACTTGGCTCCATTGAATTCTATTCCGTAGGATCTAGCCCACTGTAGACACGTGCCCCAGGCTTGTTCCAGTTGCCGGCAGTTAATATAGGAGTCCCTTCCAAAGGCTAGGAGGTTAGTGTCATCTGCGAATCCCACTAAGCTAACCAGAGGGTGCTTTTCCTTTAGTACTTTATATAGCGAGGCTATATATAGTATAAAGAGGACTGGTGATAGTAGTGATCCTTGTGGCACTCCAGCTCGAATGTTGATTTCCGGGGCAAGTTGGCCGTCGAATAGGAGTGTGGCCTTCCGGCCTGTTAGCCATGACCGTAGCCAACCTACAAGCCATGGTGGGAGCCCAAGGTCCCGAACCGTAGCCAGTAACTGGGTATGATTTACCCGGTCGAAGGCCCCTGTTAGATCTAGCTGCAATAGGGAGGCCGTAGTATGTTGTCTCCAGGCCTCTTGGATCTGAGCCACCATAAGCCGTATAGCTAGGTCTGTTGACCTATGTTCCCGGTTTCTGTGACGAAACCATAGGCAGTCCTGCCTCTGAAAGGGTTCGCCGGTCGAAGGTATCTGCTGGTCGGACTGTAGGTCTCGGTGAAGCCAAAAGGTTCACAACAATGCAAGTCGCAATGTCTGCACAGTAATGTAGGGCCACCTTACTGCTTGTATTGCTCACTGGAGAACTTCCAGAGTCCTCCAGAACGAATGACTATATACTAGCTAGTCTTGGTCCGCTCACCATGGCTCACCAGTGAGCCTAGGTGATCCTGCTCATCCGCTCACCTGGTAAGCGGGCGCTCCCATATATGCTTATCAGAGCTATGAGCGCTCTTGTATATCCCTATGTACAATGATTGGCTGTAGACATACCCTTGTCCGCCCTACCGGGTCACTATATATGGTCAAATCGTAACACGATGCCCCTCCTCGACATCTTTCGCCCCGAAAGACTTGGGTTGTTTCAAATAGCGCCAACTGCCCTTGCTTCTATAGGTACGCGGGTCCCTGCTATCTCCCTCTTCACCTTCTTAGGATGCTAATACGATATCAGGGCGCGTAAAGAAGCCGTCCCGTCCGTATAATTCGACTGCCGAACGGCATGCCCTTGCCGAAGAGATCGAGTCTGTTGGTATAGAGGCCGAGATGCCTTGTACTCGTTGTTGGACTGCTACCCTACACGCGCGATGCGTCGTAGCGGAGGGCTCTTTCTAGTGTTCTTATTATGTTCGTCTAGGGAAGCCTTGCGACGGAACCAGCGTCGCGTCCCTTCGTAAGTATAGTTGAGGGGTTCTTTTTCCCCTTTTATTGCTGATATTCCTAGTGTTAAGTAATACGTCCGAGCATAAACGAATGGATTCTAAGATTGCCGAGATTAAGGATCAGCTTACGGTATTATTATCGCGGCTGAACCGAATACGTTGCCAACGCCGCTTTATCGAGGAGCAGGGGTCCGAACTGCTTTATCGTGGCATGCAAGGTTTAGATGAGGAGGATGGTATGGTCCCGATATCGGATGAACAGACTTTGGTCGGGCAGGCATAGGCCTTGGGTACCGTAGGGGTGATAGACTGGGAGGCCATTGGTGCCGTCCCGTATGGTTCTGCGGGCCATGATCCGTTCTTGGATTCGCTACTCGGGGGTACCGCCAAGTGGGTGCCCCTATCCCCTCTGTCTGTCGTTCTTTGTACTGACCGTCTTCTCCAGTGCTGGTGCTGGTTCTCCCCCTGTGGAGCCTCCTCCTTTGGTCAGTTAGGATCCCTCTAGCGGGACTCCTGCAGCTTCTCAGGGTAGTGGGGGTTCGTAGGTGGTAGTCAGGTCTTGGTCGCGCCTGCCGTACGTGTCGTGCTATAGTGTGGCTGCCTGTAGCCGCTCTTTCCTGCCTGGGGTTCTTAATCTGATTCTTGCTGCCTGCGCCTCGTCTTCGCGTGAGTGGCTTTATCGCGGGGTAAGGCGACTTATATGGAGATTTTTGTGCCTTCCTCCTAGCCGGTCTGGGTTCCGTCGGTGGAACTCTTCTAATTTTTCTGCGCAGTTGAGATGTTCTGCTAGCTCCTACGAGTTGTCTTCTAGTCCGAAGTCGAGCTATTTAATTAAGTACTCCAGCCTTCCATTAGCTATCCGAGAGTCTAGGATCTCTTTAACGTCCTATTCTTCTTCTTTGTCCTTGGCTTCGATATCTTTTATAACCTATATATTCTTAGGTACTAGTTTAAGGAGCAAGATATAGAAGACGTTAGTATATAGCTTTATTATTAATAGTAATAAAAATCGGTAGTTAGATGTCGAAATTTTCTTATCGACCTTAAACGGTCTAATCTTCTTAAAGTCGAGTTTCTAACTTGGCTATTTTGTTTTTAAATTTCGAGAAATAAGGTAGATTATATCTCTTTTCTTAAGGCGAGGTCCCTCGAGCCGATATTTATTATAGTATTCCTTTATCCTAAGCCTAACGAACTCGAGTTCTTCCTTTAATATTATATATAGTATATATATCTTCTCTACCTTGACTTTTGCCCTAGGTACTATAATATCAAGTCCCTAGCGTAAATCTGCTTTATAACCAAAGTTCGCGAAGAATAGAGTAACCTTTATTGTCTCTATTGGCGTTATATTATATATAAGCTATGCCGTTGGTAATAGATCGATCTAGTCGTCTTGCTAGAAGTTAACGAATGTTCTAAGATATTGTTCGACGATCTGGTTGAGTCTTTCTATCTAGCTATCTATCTACGGGTAGTATATTATTAAAAGCTTGCTCTTTATATCTAAACGTTTTATAAGCGCTTATTAGAATTTTAATACGAATTTAGTATCTCGGTCTATAATCTATTCTTCCGGCTATCTATAAACTATTATAATATACTAATAGATCGTATCTATAAGTTGCTCTATTAATTATAATTCTTTATATAGGAAGAAATAGCTCTACTTAGTAAGTCGGTCAACTATAGTAAGAATGCTATTATATTTCGTTCTAGTAGTCGAGTCTTTCGAAAGTAGTAGTTTGGTAATAAAGTCTATCGTCACCGAACTCTATAGTCGTTCTATAACTGGCAATAGCTCTAAGAGCCCATATAGTTTATACTATACTGACTTGCTTTGATTATAGAGGTCGTATTCCTATATAATGGTTTTGACTCTGGTCCTAAGTCCTAGGAAGTTATAATATTGCTAAACCTTGGAGACTGTTTTGGCGATTCCTATATATCCTCCGAGTTTCGACTTATGGATTGTCTTGATCAGTTCTGTTTAATCCTATAGTACGACGTAGGCCTTGCCGTTATACTATAATGCTCCGTCTCTCTAAGAGATGCCTACCTTCTTATCTATGTTGTTCTGCTTCTGGTCCTAGAAGTCTTTTCCTAGCTGTTCTTCCCTAAAGATTGCGCAATATTCTTTAAACGGTTATAGAGGTTATATGCTGGGATCTTCGTCCTATCGTGGAAGTATATCGTTATTGAGATCTTCTATTGGTTAGGGAGCATACTATAGGGAACCGTCTGGCTGTTGTTAAAGTAATAGTGGTGAGGCTTCTGGTTGGCTGTTCCTAAAGTGATCTAGCCTCCTGCTTAACGTATCTGCTCGTATATTTTCCAAGCCTTTCTTATAGTTGATTTTAAAGTGGAATTCTAAGAGGAATTCTACCCATCGAGTTTATTGTCCGTTCTATACTTTGGTGGTAGTAAAGTACCATAAGTTCTTATAATCTATATAGACCTAAACTTCGTAGGTTATATTGCTAAG